ACAATGCAAGATGTCAAGGAGTGGTTTCAAGAGAACGTGGAACGGAAAAAACAACTCTGGATACAATTCGTTTATTGCCCCTGATATCAACTTTGAATATCAATTGGATCTGTTTTTTATGTCAAAAAATGATTTAGACAATCAAAAATATAGGATAGGCTTATTGCTTATTGATGTATTTTCCCGCAAAGCCGTGGTGGTGCCTATTGCATCCAAGCAACCTGCCGACATCACGGCTGGGATCATGGAGGCATTAAACAAAATGGGAGGGAAACCCAAATTAATTTATTCGGATGACGAGGGAAGTCTCAATACCCAAGATCTTGTCGATTTTGTCAAGGACGAAGGGATCCAAAACTATAAAACACGAGGGCACCCCCATTTCGCCGAGCGTTTCATTCGCACGTTCCAGGACATGCTTTTCAAGAGGGTTGATGCAGACGAGAAAAAGGGAAAGGTTAATATACAATGGGTTGATTATATCCCCGAGATCATGCTGACATACAACAGTAAAATGGTTCATTCTGCCCACGATATGACTCCAAACGATGCCCACAAAAAGGGAAACCATCTTGAGGTCAAGATGAAGCTTGAAATGAACAGAATCGAAACCCGTAAATATCCCCCTGTTAGGGTTGGCGATGAGGTCAAGATATACCGCAAAAAAGGGATTTCCGAGAAAGAAAGAACGAGTTCATGGTCAGCAAACAAGTTCACAATTGAAAGGATTGAGCGAAAACTTGGACAAGACTATTATTATGTCCAAGGCGTGACTCGTGCTTATTTGAGATCGGAAATTCTGAAGGTTTGAAGAAATAATATCTAGACGGTTCTAATAGCTGATGAATCTATTAGAACTGTTTAGTGGGACAGGGTCGGTCGGTCGCATCGCTAATGAGTATTTGAAGGGAAACCCGCAAGAGGGCAGTCCATTTTGGGAAATGGAGTAGTCCATTTTGTGGAATGGAGTAGTCCATTTTGGGAAATGGAGTAGTCCATTTTGGGAAATGGAGTAGTCCATTTTGGGAAATGGAGTAGTCCATTTTGGGAAATGGAGTAGTCCATTTTGGGAAATGGAGTAGTCCATTTTGTGGGGTGCTTTCCTACATAGGCCTTTCCCATCCGCATATTGCCATCCAATGTCACACAGATTATTTTCAAGATTTGGGTTAACGGTTTTAATTCTCCCTTTTCCATTGGTTAACCATTTTTCGGGGCGAACATAGGGTTCTTTTTTAGACTGTTCGTATTTGTTGGAAATGGGAAAGGGTCTCAGTTGGATCAAGGGAGAAATTATTGAGATCTTGGGGTTGCGATCTTGGGAATGAAAAAATGTTGGTATGTAGCTTGGATTTTTTTGGTGGGATTTGTTGAGGTGGTATGTAGTTATGATTGTTGTTATTGAATGAGTGTAAGGGTGATGTTGAGATGGGGTAAGAAATGAAGATGGGTATGTGAATATGTGTTTTTTGGCGTTGGATTGGGTGGGTGATTGAATTTGAATGTTGAAAATGGGCTGTTTTAGTGGGCGTATTCAGAATGTGCCCAAAAGTGTGGGGGGGACCCTAGGACCGGATGGCAAAATGCGGACGGGAAAGCCCCTGTCTAACTGTTAGACGCCTAGTAAGTGGACAGGCTTATTAATCCAGGGTCAACATCAAATGGCCATGGGTCAAAAGCCCATACCCCCAGTGAACATCCCAATCCCCACTAAAATAGACTAAACTGAGTGGTGCACCTACCCCGAAATGGTACCATTGGTTTTGACCCACAGCCAAATTGCAAAGGAGCCCGCACAAAACGGAACGCTGCAGAGCTGTTTGTCAACCACTGCAAGCCTTGGATTGAAAGCGAACACCGCGGCCCCTTTTTCAAAATAACAAAAAACCATCAACGCGGCTTTCTTGGATGTTCAACCAACGTCAGGTAAGTAGGTTGCAACCAGGGTCATTTGCCTGAGTCACTGAGGTTAGGTGGCTTACCATGGTCATATTCCACCTGACGTAGATTGAAAGCAAGCAACCCTCAAATCCTGCTTTTGTGTACCTGGATCCTCCTCTAACAAAGGATATTGCACCCCAAAATAATGGTTGGTGACTAGGTCCTCCAGTAAAGAGGTTAGCATAAGGGTGGCAACTTGGTTCTGTCTATTTTGGAAGGTGAAGCCTCCCCCCAAACAAGGGCACTACTGGGGGACCTAGGTGAACTCCAAGGTTTTCATGGGCAGTTTCCCAGCAAGCTTCCATTTGCGTTTTCGCCCCCTGGACGAATAAGAGTATGTCCAGTAGTGAAAGCGATTCCCTTTAAAACCAAGAGGGGGGAAAAAACATAGATTCTTCAGCCTTTGGACCAAAAAACAAATACTTCCAGTAGTGAAATTGATTCCCTTTAAAACCAAGAGGGGGGAAAAAACATAGATTCTTCAGCCTTTGGACCAAAAAACAAATACTTCCAGTAGTGAAATTGATTCCCTTTGAAACCAAGAGGGGGAAAAACAAAAACATAGATTCTTAAGCCTTTGGACAAAAATAACAAATACTTCCAGTAGTGAAATTGATTCCCTTTGAAACCAAGAGGGGGAAAAACAAAAACATAGATTCTTAAGCCTTTGGACAAAAATAACAAATACTTCCAGTAGTGAAATTGATTCCCTTGAAAACCAAGAGGGGGAAAAACAAAAACATAGATTATTAAGCCTTTGGAAAAAATACTTCCAGTAGTGAAATTGGTTCCCTTTAAAACGAAGAGGGAACAAAAAAAAGGTGAGGGATCATTTTTTTCGGGCATCAAACAACTCTGTTTTTGAAGATTAACAAAAACTTAGTAGGGATCAAACAACTTATTCTCTTAGGCTTACTACCAAAACTGAAAAGTCAGAGGATGACAAACAAAGTTTTCAGGAATCAACTTCTTCATTTCGTGGCAGGCGCAGCGCTTTCGCAAGGTCAGGTTCGTGGCAGGCGCAGCACTTTCGCAAGGTCAGGTACAGATTTCGTGGCAGGCGCAATACTCTCACAAGGTCAGGTGCAGATTTCGTGGCAGGTGCAGCACTTTCGCAAGGTCAGGCGAAGATTTCGTGGCAGGCGCAATACTTTCGCATGAGGTGTGTGGTAAGTGCAGCACTTTCGCAAGGTCAGGTGCAGATTTCGCGGCAGGCGCAGCGCTTTCGCAATGTGCAGTACAGATTTCGTGGCAGGCGCAGCGCTTTCGCAATGTACGGTACAGATTTCATGCCAGGCGCACCACTTAGCCGCAAGGTACGGTACAGATTTCGCGGCAGGCGCAGCATAGACAGACAGAAGGAGAGAGAAAGGAAGAAAGAAAGAAAGAAAGAAAGAAAGAAAGATAAAGATAAAGATAAAGATAAAGATCGAAGATGTGATGATTCAACAAAGGGTGCGCGTCTTAGAAATCAGCGGGGGGGTCGGGGGGCACCACCCCCCCCCCTGGCAGCCCCGCGTGGGATGATGAAGAAGTGATGATTCAACAAAAGGTGCGTTAATCTTTGTAAACATGCTAGAAATCAGGGGGGGGGGGGGGGTTGGGGCCCCCCATGGCAGCTCCCCCCCATGTTGATGGAAGAAGTGATGATTCAACAAAGGTCGTTAATCTTTGTAAGCATTCTAGAAATCAGCGGGGGGTTGGGCGGGGCGGCAGCCTCCCCATGATGATCGAAGAAGTGATGATTCAACAAAGGGTGCAGCCGCCGATTCCCGAAACCGATATTGAGAACCTCTCAAAATGTTTCAGACTTCCTTCCTTTACTTCCTTGCTTCTTTGCTTGCTTTCTTCCTTTCTTCCTGGAATTCCTTCTTTTCCGTCCCTCCCTCCCTCCCTCCCTCCCTCCCTCCCTCCCTCCCTCCCTTCCTCCTTCCTTCCTTCCTTCCTTCCTTCTTCCCTCCAGACCCTTCCCTGCCTTCCCTGCCTTCCCTTCCTTCCCTTCCTTCCCCTTCCTTCCTTCCTTCCTTCCTTCCTTCCCTTCCTTCCCTTCCTTCCCTTCCTTCCCTTCCTTCCCTTCCCTTCCCTTTCCTTCCCTTCCCTTCCCTTCCCTTCCCTTCCCTTCCCTTCCCTTCCCTTCCCTTCCCTTCCCTTCCCTTCCCTTCCCTTCCCTTCCCTTCCCTTCCCTCTTCCTTCCCTTCCTTCCCTTTCTTCCCTTCCTTCCCTTCCTTCCCTTCCTTCCCTTCCTTCCCCTCCTTCCCTTCCTTCCCTTCCTTCCCTTCCTTCCCTTCCTTCCCTTCCTTCCCTTCCTTCCCTTCCTTCCCTTCCCTTCCCTCCTTCCCTTTCCTCCTTCCTTCCCTTCCCTTCCCTTCCCTTCCCTTCCCTTCCCTTCCCTTCCCTTCCCTTCCCTTCCCTTCCCTTCCCTTCCCTTCCCTTCCCTCCTTCCTTCCTTTTTTCTTTTTTCTCCCCATAGGAATGATAATAAGTGGTTGTTGATCCTCTGACTTTCAGTTTTAGTAGTAAGCCTAAGAGAATAAGTTGTGTTTTGACCCCTAATAAGTGTTTGTTGATCCCTAATAAGTTTTATTGATGGCCTATCCCACAAAAAACATGTTCATTTCAGCTAATGGAAGCTTGAAGTCGAACGGCACCGAACCTTGAGCCTATAGCAACTCATGTCCTTTTCTCCAATGGGTCCCGTCAGTCTTATGGACTAAAGCTGGGCTGTCCTGATACCACTTGTGGGTTAAAATTTGAAGAAAAAAACATCTCTCACCAACTAAGTCTTCTGCTGCAAGTTTGTAACTTCCAGGTTAAATCCTGAGATTGAGAGTGAATCACTTGTGGGTTAGATTATGGCAAACCATCTCTCACCAAGTGCTACAAGTTAGTAACTTGCAGGTGAAATGCGGTTCCCCCCTCCCTTTCGACAACTAAAAACACCTAAACCCTGCGTTGAACCTTCCGCTACAAGTTTGTAACTTGCATTCCCCCTACCTTTCGCCAACTAAAAACAACCAAACCCCTAGTTGAACCGCCCAAAAAAAAGCCAAGCCCCGGACCAGTGCCGGCGGATGTCAGAGTCGGCAGTGTGGGCGCCGGCCTCGGCGCGGGGGTCTAAACCACTCTTGCGCTGCAATGCAATTAGGTGCCATAGGTGTCTTCCTGGTAAAGTAGATGGGTTTCCCTGGTAAATGTTGACTGAAACCCAGCTACACCCATGGAAACCATCTTTTTCTAGCCACACTAGCCTAAAAAGGACATCTAATTACTGTGGATGGACGAAATCCATTTCGCATCACTTTGGAACAATGAAAAACCATTGTTTGCTTTTGTATTTGCAGGGAAATAATCAGAAACTAGGGTTTCTTAGGTGGTGCGAAATGGATACCGTCCACCCACAGTAGGTGCCATAGAGCAGGGCTCCTTTTTGTTGACTAGGTAGCGGAAAAAAAAGGCAAACATCCCGGTGGCTCCACTTGCAATGAAATTAGGTTGCCATCAAAAGGCCAGGGCAAACCATTCTTCGACCGATAAAAGGGAAACCGATTCCTGAGACGCGATGGGGCAGTAACACTAGGTCCTCCAGTAGAGAGGTTAGAATACGTGTACTTTTTTCTGTAGTCTATTTTTGTAGGGGAACCCTCCCCCAAGAAAGGGTGAAAGGGCACTACTGGGGGACCTAGGAAACCATCCTGAATGAGTCGCTTCCCCTGTGAATACCGTCATGAATGGTCTGGCTTCATCCAGGGCCCAGGTGGTGCGATACGGAGGCCGCAACCACCCACAGGATGAGTACCAAAAAACACGCCGACCCAGCGAGGCATGGTCGCCGCTGGGTTTTGTGGAGACTTCCGAGGCAATTCGACCCACTTCCTAAGTGGATCGGAAATCAAATGGACTAACTACCTGGAGTCTCCTTCTGACCCTTAACAAATAAAGTCATTACCTAAAATAATGGGGTCATTGACCAATTTTAAAGGGTCAGAAGGAGACTCCAGGTAGACATGGGATTGCTGTTGTCGCCCAACCAGGCACAAAAAGTCGACCTCCATTCGCGTAAATCCCCTGAAAATTGACAAACAATACGTCCAGTATAGGATACCTGGAGTCTCCATGATCCTTTACAAATGGGTCAATGACCCCATTATTTTGGGTAAGGACCCCATTTTTCAAGGGTCAGAAGGAGACTCCAAATAGATTCCCTTACAACCAAAACGAAAAACCAACAACAACACAGCTTCAGCGAATGGAAGTCCATGAGCTACGGCAGCAGATGGGAAACCCGTAGGCCCGAAAGGTGGGTCCGTCCCCCAGTTACCCCCTGAAATTCTTGGTTGGCGTTGGAAGGGGAGCAACCATTTAAATGTGAGCAGTTCAATTGTTGAGTTTCAAGCACCAAACCACAATAAGCAAACATGGTTTATTTAAAAAAAATGTTTCCCAACAACAAGTATGGAAAGCCGAGGGCCTGCCCCAAGAAGTGGCGAAAGCTCCATGACCCCAGGGTGTGATTTTTCAGGCCCCCCCGCAGGCGGGAGATCACATCGTCCAGCTCCTCCGCCGTGTAGGTGTGAAACCTCAGCTCCGGGAGTCGGATGGGGATTTCTTTGGTCAGAACTTCATTTGGTCGGACACACCCATTTAGCCTTTATCGTCCCCTGGAAAAACTGGGAGAAACAGGTCCACTGGTGATAGACTCGCTTGAAGACCAAGAGGTGCAAAGAAGCTCGGAAGTGCAACTTTGTTGCTGTTGTCCCCGCAAAAAGTTGAACTTTTTGGGGGGTTAAGTGGAAAACCCCTTGATTTCCCAATAAGTTAAAGTCTAAAGATCCAACCCAATAGCAGTCAAGGCAAATGGAAGGAAACGGTAGAGGGAGTTGAAGCGGTCCTTGAGACGAACAAACCTCACACGATCCTGGAAGACAATTTTCCTTTAGAAGGACGAGATCGTCAGTCCAAAGGATCCAGGAACTAAAGATTCACCTTTTGGGACCTCTACAAAAAGTGCACCAGCAATCGAAATTAAAAGGTCCCAAGATCGGCCTTGTTTGGTTGGCTTTTAAAGGGACACCAAAACGAACCCAACCATATTTGGTTTCTGTTTTTTTGTTGGGGGGGTCCCCTAAAAAAGACACATTGTCAAATTGTCGCCCCTTTAATTAATATTTCCTCCGTATAATTATATGTCTTAAAAGTTAATAGCAAACATACTTAATTCGACAACCCACGTGGTGACCTCAAAAGGACAAACCCGGTTTCTTTCTTTTTTTCCGGGGGACCTAGATCAACAACAAGGTGGGTAAAGCCGCGTGTGTGTTGAGACCTCTGCAGGGAGGCAAAGGAGTTGTTTGCTTCAGGGTACGCTTTGTGGGAGGACGAAACGCTGCATCACTACTTGCGTGGGTTCTGCCAGCACCACCAACTTGGCTTTGTTAAATTTCCATGTGCTTTTTCGCCGCCTGGAAAAAATAAGAAAATATGTCCAGTGGCGAAACCGATTCCCTTTCAAACCAAGAAGCGAAAACAAACAAGAATCCTATTCAATTCAGCACATGAAAGAACTGGGTGGCTCGTCTTTTCTGAACAGAACCCGTTTTCCTTGCCCAGAGGCTCCTGGCTTTGGCTTTTGTTTCAGCAAAGGGAAGTCCAGTTTTGTCTGCCGAACCGCGGGATTTCTTTTCGCGAAACAAGGGGCGCCGAACCCACGCCTGCAGTGCGTCAATGCGGAGAAAATTGGATACCGGATGTCACCATCAATACCTACCCCATTGGATCCGTATACCTTTTTTCTTTTTAGGTAACCAAGGGAACCACCCAATCGAAAAACCAAAAGAACAATGGCTGGTGACCTACTGTAAGGGTAACTAGGATTCACAGGGCACCTGGACCCTCAAACTACCCATAAAAAAGGGGAAGTCACCAAGCAGAATGTTGGGTTGCGATCACCCATTTTGAAGCTGGATTTTGACTGTCCAGGTAGCAATTTGAAAAATGGCCTACCCGAAACAATGTAAACAATCAATGCAGCGGTGCTTTCTCGTTGCGACTCTCCCGTACCCTTACCCTTTATCAGTGGCAGGATTTGGTGGAGCTACCTTCCCCATTTAGCTTCAAGAGGAGCTGGGGTCAAACCACCAGTTACGGGCATAGGTGACATTTTGGAAACATGGATCACCCTGGCAAATGGGGCATAACACCCCATCTAAACCGGCGCCATCTATTTCTAACCAAGCTAACCCCCAGTTGCCCAAAGGACCTAGAAATAATTAAAAGGTTAACCTTTTGGGACCATGACTAAACATGGACCAAACCGAGAAAACGAAAAGGTTAAAAGGTCGGCTTTGGGCAACTGAGAACCTACAAAGGACACCCACGATTTACGGTTTTACCGGGTGCCTGAAGCGAACACTCCCCGTGCGCGGTTGTCCACGTGGATCGCCAGTTGCGAATCGCTTTTCAACCAGCTACCTTGCATTTGCCCCAAGGCCCCTGGAGAACAAAAAACAGTAGTGAAATCGATTCCCTCCAAAAACAACAAGGACAAATATAAACTATTTGTTTCAGCAAATTGAAGCTACTGTGACTGTGTTTGGGAGTAAAGTGCCTGAAAAACAGAGGCGACTGGGCGATCCGGGTCAATTTCCATTTTGGTAAAATACCAATCTGACCAAAGTGGATGATCGGGCCAAGTTGTCTTAAGGGACCCACCCCATAGGTGTTCTTTTGGTACAGTAGATGGGGTTCTCCGGCAAATGGGGACTAAAAGCCAGCTACGCCAATGGACACCATCTATTTCTAGTCACACCAACCTAAAAAGGACACCGATGCCCCCCCCAACTAGGTCCTCCAGTAGAGAGGTTGGAATAAGACTCCCAACTTTTTTTCTGTAGTCTATTTCAGTAGGGTCCCGAACCCTCCCAACCAGAAAAGGGGTGAGAAGGGCACCTAGCTGGGGGGCCTAGTACTTCTAGCCACGCTAACCTAAAAAAAAGCACACCCATGCCCCCCCGCCCAAACCAAAGGCACTATTGGAGGTCTGTGGCTTTCTGGGTTTCCATCCAGCCCCACATGACCATGTCAGCTCTCCCGCCTGGCAGTGGATGCTGGGATCACCCCCACCTCGATGTTGATCTTGCTCAGCTTCTCCTCCATAACCTCACGCGGCGGTGCGAATTGGCGGCTGGCTGCAAAAGGATCATCTTTTGTTTGGTCCACTTCTTTGGGAAACACGGGGAAAGCAAAATAGCTTTCCACAAACTTTGGGAAAAACCAAAGTTTAGGCTGGTAAAGCAAAAAGGAGGCCAAAAGGCAAACCAAAAGGAAACAACAAGCACAATTGGTGGCCGTGGCAGCGTTGAGTGCGGAGACGGCCTGCAAAAGGATCTTATTCTTTTTGGCTTGCTGCCGCATCGCTATGTTATGCTATGGTGTTTGGAGATATTCAACTGTTCGCTGGTTGGACAAGTTAAATTATAGAGATCCCACATGATCCCACAGAATGGCAGCCAACGGGGGACATCACCTCAATCTGTGATAAAGTGGAAATCCCCATCCCCGTTTTCCCTTGGCGGGGAAGTTCCCAAAGTTGTGACGGAAACAAGGCCCGATAAAAACCAATTACTTGGATGTTCGGAAAGGTTAGTGAGGGGTAACGACAACAGTTCGGTTGCAACACACTTATATGTCTGCTCGTTCAGTCGGATTAACCTGATTAGGAGGATACAGCCCAAATACAATTGTCTGCTTACTAACTTGGCGGGCCGAACATCCAAGTAGTGTCTACACGCCTGAGTTCGGCGTGGGGTCGGGTGGGGCCCGAGGCTGAGTTGGTAAAACTGGTCGGAGAAGGGACACCGAGAGGACAACCACTACTTGGGTGTGCCCCTATTAGGCATGGGTCCTGTTAGTCCTCGTTGCCACTGTAGCACTAGGATTTGCGATTTGGCGATCCTCGCAAAAGCACTCAACCAAGATGCAAGCACCTTGCAAAGGGGATTCCTTACATAGGGGCGCCGGCAGATCCAAGAAATTAACTTGCCCCCTGCTTGGTCCTTTCTAAGTCATGGCCCCAAAAGGTGAGTCATGGAGCCAAAAGCTGATCTCCTTGGTTCCATCAATCAGGATGATACTTCTGCCCTGCCAATTCTCGGTTGCCTTCCGCTCCCCTGCTAAAAGCTTTTAACTTTTAGTGGATTAACACGGAAAACCCATTTTCGTTGGCAACAAGTTCTCAAGTCCTAACATCCCTTGGCACAATGCACCAAATTGACAGAAGGAACCCGCAAGTCCTCGACTTGGGCCTGTCGACTTTTGCTCCATTCACCAGGCCGGGTGGGGCAAAAAGAATCCGGGCTTTTTTTTGTAGACAATCCGTATTTTTTGTGTTTTTGAGTTCCATTTTTGGGTTCCATTTTTTGGGTTCCATTTTTTGGGGTTCCATGATTTTGTCTGGCTGAGTCTTCTTTGAAATTGAACTTTCCTTTCTTGTGATGTTGAGGAATACCAAAAGAACACCGAAGCCATTATGGGGGGGGATCCAAATCCTAAAAAAGACACAGCTTACCTGATAACCTGGTAAATCTTGGTCTCTGAGCGCTGAGTACGCCAGGTATTTTCCGTTGCGGGGAGGCCAAGAAATCCGGGCCGAGTCGTTGCCCCAAGAGGACATTGCTGTGGACCAAAACCAATGGGATCCCATTTTGGGCTGCCCGTTTTCTGATCCCGCGCTATTTTTTTTAACTCTTAGTGCGTTAAATACGGAAGCCTCCTAAACACTGAAAGGCTAAAAAGCTGAGGAACCGGATAGCTGGGAGCCACCCAGAAAAGTGAAAAGAGTCTAGGGGAAGCTGCCCCATGTCCATTCTTTCCAGAAATCCGATTCTTTTTCTGGAAACCATCCAAAAAGCCCAGGGGAAACAGCGATCGGTTCTTGAAAAGAAGGATGGCTGGGAGCCACCAATGCACTTGACATGGAACTGGAAACTCCGTTGTTTTCTGCTCCTGCTAAAAGTGCTCTGGGGAAAAAAAAGCCCGTGCCTGGCGCAGCGTGGTGAGCGCCAAAATCTCGGCCTCCTTCAGCGTCATGTCCTTGTTGTACTGCTCCTGGTGCTTTCGGTTGTGGGTAAAACAAGTCACAGTTGTATTTAATAAGCATCATGTTAGGAGCAACGTAGGTCCTCCAGTAGAGAGGTTAGAATAAGGGTGCCCTTTTTTCTGTTGTCTATTTTAGTAGGGGAACCCTCCCCCAAAAAAGGGTAAAAGGGCACTACTGGGGGACCTAGATTAACTTCCATTTGCTTAAGCCCCCTGGAAAAGTGAGAACATATTTCCAGTAGTGAAAGCGATTCCCTTTAAACTCAAGAGGGAAAACAAAAAATACTCATTTCAGCAAATGGAAGATAAGCATAATTTTAGGAGCAAAGAAAGATGCTACATCTCAGATGCCCAGTGGCCATGGGTAAAACAGGGCATCCTTTTTGTAGTTGGTTGACTTTAACGGGACACCCTTCCCCAAAAAAGGAAAAAAGGGCACCACTAACCAACTGGGATGTTACAGGTGGCATGGTTCCTGGAATTTACTATGCCCGCCTCGACCCTCAAAAGAATTCACTGTTTGATGGCTAGTTGCGATTCCTGGATCGCCAGTTGCGAATCGCGCTTTCAACCAGTTTGTTGGGTCTGGAAATGAACGCAGCAACTTGGCGATCCAGTTTCTATTTAATAAACCATTCTCTCCCCGACAGGCCAAAACCTGGAACCCTCCCGTTGCACCCTCCCTGTAAGCTTCCCCAAGCCGCAGAACGAGCTATGGGCAGAGACCCCATAGCTTTCAGTAGAAAGGGTCTTGGGATCATTTGCGCTGTGGCTTTTGGAGACAAAGGAAAACCAGAGGAACAAAGATTCATACGGCGTGATATTACTTTCACTTCCGATAAAATCGCAAACTCATTTCCTGGCCCACCCCAAGAAAATACAGTATGTATATTAAATATATATATATATAATGTATATTGCAACAATAAAAATCGCGGGGCCCCGTGCAAGGCGATTCCAATTCCATAACATCACAAACCACGGCTTCTGCAACGGTCCAGGAATCGCGCCGAGTTAAAATGGGGAGCCCATAGGAGCCCCCAAAGCAAAATCGCAGTAAACCCTCAGCAAAGTGCCAGGCAAGCGCTCGACATTCAAGTATTCCACAGATTAACATGGAACCAACAAACCCATTTGTCACGGAAAACATGGAACACAACGCATAGGAACGGAGACTCCTTTTCCGAATCGGAACTCCTGTTTAGGCACCATGCCTTGATCTTCCACCCTCGGGTAACCAGAGCAAACCACAACGCAAACCACTATGCTGGCTCCATTATCTTGCGATCAAAGTCACTCCCTCCGTGATAGATGAAAGAGAAACACCCCCGGCGGACTTTGAAAGGACCCTATGGCGAAACGTTTCGAAGCAGTGTCGAAGCAGTGGCCATCATGCTGTGTCTTAAACTAGGGCAACCCTAAACTTGCCGGTTCTCCTGTTGATTTCCCTTTAAAGCCAACCCAAAGGGGTTGGCTTCCCAACAAATGGAGGTCCAATGCTTGGGGCAGCGGGGCCCCAAATTGGAGCAAACCGAGACTCGTTACCATCGATTCCCCGCCTGCAACATGCTTGTGGCGCCTTCCTGAGCGCTGCCAATGGCACAAGCTGCCTGAGAGGCGAAGTGGCGGGTGCGGGTTCCGGTCAAGGCCTGTGCCTACCTAGACTCTCCGTGACCCTTTAAAAATGGGTCCATGACCCCAGTATTTAGGGCAAGGACCCCATTTTTTAAGGGTCATGGAGACTCCACATAAAAATGGCTCCCCCGAGGTTCCTGGGCACCCAGACACTCCTCTGGGTCGATGGAAGTCCCAACCCCTCCATTCGACACCCCGCTTCGGTGCTTGGGGGTCTGCTAAATTGATCGAGAGCGTCTGGGCAAAAAAAAAGCATGGAGGTTATATACCACTTTTTTAAGGGTGTATGTCCTGGTGAGGGAAATTTGGAGGTGAGGTGAGAAATACCACTTGAGGAGTGCATGCCGCAATGGAAACACCCCGGACCTTGTTGCCAACCCATTTCATATTCGGCACATACCCCCCCTTGTGGGAAGGGGGAATCCACCCCATAATATTGGGGCGATAACCCCTTTTCGAGGGAATTTTGAGGGTCCAAATATGACATGAGCAACAGCCACATTGTCTAAGATGGCTGCCTAAGTTTGGTTTCGAATTTGTTTTTGTGATTCTCGGAAACTACCTAAGCCCCAAACCACCAGCATGGGGGGTGGACAACGTGATAGTGCCGAACTGCTTTTTCGTGACAGCCTCTCCCACCAGATTCAGGCCATTGCCTTGGGGGTTTGAGCATCTTTGACATCAAGGTCACCGAACAAAACGTCCTATACCTCCATTTGCTTGAGCCTGCTAGACACACCAACACATATTTCCAGTAGTGGTAGAGTAGATGCCTTTAAAACCCAACAGTGGATTCACCCACCCGGCTGGGATATCCCATGTTTAAGCTGGAATGTTGAGACTCCAGGTACCCAAACTGTTTATTCATCGCTAAAATGGTAACCAACCCCCACACGTTTGAAGTCTAAGAACTCAGGAAGTGCGCTCCTTTGACACCAACAGGGGAAACTAACAACATATGCTTCAGCAAAAGCAAGCCTAGATGTCGCCCAGCAAAGCGCTGGGCGAGGAAGCGAGCTCTTAGTAGGCGCAGCCACAGGAAGAACCTAGTGACTCCAATCTCCGCTCGAGGTATCACACCCCAAGGAAGAGGTACCCATACTGCGGATGGACGAAATCCTGCACCACTTTGAACAATGAAAAACCATTGTTTGTTGGCATTCGCAGGGAAATCATCATTCCAGGGTTTCTCAGGTGGTGCAGGATTTCGTCCATCCACAGCATGGATATGCATCTTAATTGCGGTTTTGTTGGTGGCCATCAGTTTGATGGAGATTTACCAACCCTTCGTTGGGATGTTCCCCACTCAAATTCATAGCCATATCATACTGGGGATGGCCAAAATCCTGCGCAGAGATGAACCCCCGTGCCACCTACCAACTGGTGCCGATCGGCGCAGATTTTGTCCAACTAAAAGTCACAACGCGGCCACAGCAGCAAGGCATCCTCTATTTGGGTGTGCCTTTTTTTAGGGGACCCTCCAAAATTGTGTTATGTTTTCCTTTGTTCTTCCTTCAACCAACAGAAAAAAAAGGGTCCCTGAAAACAACACACACCCATTTGCCCTTGGAACCAATGGTTTAGATCGACGCCCGGCCTTAGCCGTTTGCTTTCTATCTGCTGCCAGGCTGCGTACTTGGTGAACGTGCCCGACGGGTCCTGCACTTCGCATCAGACACCCTCGAGCCCAAAGCAATGCAAAGCATCCCAAACTCCAAGCCTGAATTGGTTTGGATTGGGCGGTGGGGATTTGATCAATGCTTGGGGAGGAAACTCCACTAGCATCCACTAACCAAACTACCAAACCAAAGCACCAAAGGGAAGCATCCCGTTTGCGGATCTCGATCGCCTTTCGGGAACCCGTTTAAGCAGGGGAAGAAAAGCCGTCCCCGAAACGAAAGGTCCAATTCGGGACCCAGCTCCATGCATGTTGCCAAGGCGCCACGAAACACAACGAAGCACATTCACCCACCCCCATTCAAGAATTGCCGTGAACAAATGCCGCAACAACCTGTCTGTATCAATTTCCCTCTCCCAACCAAAAGAAGAACACCCAGAACCCACCCTGACAGGAAATCTGGCGCAGTAGGCAAAAGCGATGTTTACGCCAAATGCTCTGGTCCACATAAAAGAAAGCGACAGAGATCTTTCCAAATCGTGGTTGTCAAAATGATGGACCCAAAACATGCGCGGTTTCCGTTTGGTTTCCCTTCGACACCATCCAAGAAGGGCCTTCGCAGTGTTCCTGACTAATCCAAGAGACACATCAACCCAGGGGTGGCTGATTTCCCCAATAGGGCAACGCAGGTTTAAGTCTACCTGGCAGTCAAAGAATGGACAGGGCTTACTGGATTTCCCCAAATCGCAAGTTGATTCATTGGCTGAAACTGCCACTTGTCCCCTTTGAATGTGGCAGTTTACTGGCGAGTTCCCCTTTTCGCAGGTTTAAAGAGAACTCTGGGCTTCTCTGTGAGACAATTCCTCGATCAACGTCAGGCAAGTAGGGAACCAACCAGAGTGAGATAACTGGGGTAATTGGGGTGATCCTCCACTTATAAACAGGGTTTTTACCCACCTGACGTTGGCAACGAACACGTAGGTTGCAACCATGGTGAGACAACTGCGGCAACTGGGGCAATTTGGTCGGAAAAGGGCTACAACCAGGGCTTATAACCAGGGCTTAGTAGCTTAGTCACTTGTAATTAACCAGGGCTACCGGCGATGGGAGATGCTGCTCGGACAGTATAAGACCCGGCCGGGCCAGGTCTGGTTGGGGCGGTTCACATCCCCCTCGGGTACCACCGGTCCTGTTCACGCCCTGGCGACCACAACAAGTCCAACCACTACAACTTCACCCCCCAGAACCCTACCACCCGCCCCCCCGTCTGCCCCGTCTGCCCCGTCTGCCCCGAAACCGCCGACAACCGCCGGCCGTGTTGAAGAGCACAGGGCCGTCCCAGGGGTCCACGCCGCCCACCAAAAGGGCCACCTCGGTGACTCAGGCTCCCAGCTCGCGAGCCGCCGTGTGGGTCGGTTCCTTTCCAAGGCCACACAAGAGAGCAACACTGCTTATACATGTGTATATATATATATATTATGGCGCAGTAAAGCCAGGGTCCATAAAAGCTGCATGCACATATGTATATTTATATATATATTACCTACATAAATCCCAGCAAATGGCATGGCTTTTAGAAAGCCCAAAGCAATAGTATAATTACGACTAGCACACAAGGGCTAAGGGAAGACACCGCTACTCAGCCACAAACACATAGGATATTGCCAGAAAAATTGCCCCAAATTGTAGGGTAGTTGTTCAATTCTTCCTGCCCCAAATCATGGCTGGGCTGTCCTCGGATCCCCTGCTCAAAGTCCAACTGTTCGTGGCTTAAATAGAAGCTACCACACCAACCAAAAGCTCAATCCTAAGGAACCGGATGGCTGGGAACTACCTTACTCGAAGCTTCCCTATAGTTCTGGGTTGGATGGACACCCCCCAATTAAACCAAAAAAAACACTAAAAGAAAATCAACAACAACAACATCTAAGGGGGCGGATGGCTGGGGACCACATGGATGTGAAAGACACCCCTTACCAGAACCGCATGGATGGCAGGGAAACAAAACCAACGCGGAACAAGTCTCTTGCTGAAACGGAACCAAGATGAGTCAATACTAAGCTCAGCCCAGTGGCCATTGGAAAACAGGGTAGCCTTTTTTGGTTGGTTTGTAGTTTAAAGGGGAACCCCTTCCCAAAAAAGTCGAACAAAGAGCGCCTTTTTGCTTCCAAAGCCGTATGGCAGGGAAACAAAACCAAAGATACCCCAAAAGACTCCTAAACAAGCGCATGGCTGGAACAGAACCAAGATTAACCAAGGCTCAACGCCAAGTGCCTCCAAAGCCGTATGGATGGCAGGGAAGCAAAACCAACGACACCCAAAGACTCGCGGATGGCTGGAACGGAACCAAGATGAACCAAGACTCAACACCAGAAGCAAAACCAACTAAAGACACCTCAAGACACCTAAAAGCACCTCAAAGACACCTAAAGACACCTAAAGACACCTAAAAGACACCTAAAAGACACCTCAAAGACACCTAAAGACACCTCAAGACACCCAAAGACACCTCAAGACACCTCAAGACACCTAAAAGCACCTCAAAGACACCTAAAGACACCTAAAAGACACCTAAAAGACACCTCAAAGACACCTAAAGACACCTCAAGACACCTCAAGACACCCAAAGACACCTCAAGACACCTCAAGACACCTAAAGACACCTCAAGACACCTCAAGACACCTCAAGACACCTCAAAGACACCTAAAGACACCTCAAGACACCTCAAGACACCTAAAAGCACCTCAAAGACACCTAAAGACACCTAGAGACACCTAAAAGACACCTCAAGACACCTCAAAGACACCTCAAGACACCTCAAGACACCTAAAAGCACCTCAAAGACACCTAAAGACACCTAGAGACACCTAAAAGACACCTCAAGACACCTCAAAGACACCTCAAGACACCTCAAAGACACCTCAAGACACCTCAAGACACCTAAAAGCACCTCAAAGACAACTAAAGACACCTAGAGACACCTAAAAGACACCTAAAAGACACCTCAAAGACACCTAAAAGCACCTAAAGAAGCGGATCCAGCAGTGCTTAAGCTAAGCGGCTCCGAAGGGTCGGGACATGGTCTTCTTCTTGCGGTCGGAGTCGCTGAAGTCCAGGGCCAAGTCGGCAATCGCCTTCGATCGGCTCGGGCCGCGCGGGGCTTCGGATTTCAGCGGGTGTCGAGCCAAGATCCGGCAAGATGTGGCCAGGGGTGAAAACCCAAATCGTACCCAGTGAACATCCCAATCCCCACTAAAATCCCGACTAAAATGGGTGGTGAATTCACCTATCCCAAAATGGTACCATTGGTTTTGAACCATGGCCATCTGCCTGGAGTCTCCTTCTGACCCTGTAAAACATGGAGCAATGACCCCCATCATTTTTTAAGGGTCATTGACCCATCATTTTTTCAGGGTCACAAGGAGAAAAAACACCAGGTGTGTTCCTTAGAAGCCAAACGTTGGTTCAGCTTGGTTCAATCTGATGGCCCACACAAGATCCCAGGAAGCCGGTTTTTTGGCCGATAGGCAGCCACCAACATGTCCTCTTTTGGCTTTGCCTGTGGCCCAAATGTCCAGCTGCGGCGTTTTGTTTTTCCCCATACGCTTCAGCTAAAGCATCAGTCAGACACTCCCTGCGATCGCCTTCCAAGGCAGATCCCGGCTCATGACCTCTAGACGGGTTTTCTCGGTAATTAGGTCCTCCAGATTTGCGAGGTTAGAATAAGGGTGCCCGATTTTTTTCTGAAAGGGCACTGGGGTCCCATCGGTCATGTTGACCCCGGATTACTAGCCCCGAGTCTATTCATAGGGGGGTGGGGGCCCTTTTTCAAAAGTGGTCTGTTCAGGGAGAAGTGCCCCCGTATTATAAACAGGGGCTGATTAATACTAGGTCCTCCAGTAGAGAGGTTAGAATAAGGGCACCCAAATTTGTCTGTAGTCTATTTTAGTAGGGGAACCCTCCCCCAAAAAAGGGTAAAAGGGCACTACTGGGGTCCCATCGGTAACGTTGACCACAGAATAACCCCGAGTTTATTGATAGGGGGGTGGTTTTTGCCCCTCCAAAAGTGGTCTGAATCCCCATAAACCCAGGGAGAAGCACCCCCCTATTCATAAACAGGGGTTGATTCATATGGGGTCACCATTAAATGGATCCACTGGGTTGCGTGAGCACCTGGTGACAGCCCCCGTCTCCGAGCGCCAGCCCTCGAACGACGCTACACGTTCAAGGCCCCGGCATTGACGTTGCTCTCGATTGGGATGCGCTCGTTGTAGGTGAACCAATGGCCCTGCCGCATTTGAGAGATGCGCCAAAAAAACACTCGGTTGTCGGCCATGTCGATAAAATTCTGCCAACCTCTGAAGGTTCCTGAATCGACAGTTGCTGCTCTTTCTACCATCAACTGTGACTGTTTGTAGTATGAAGTGTCTGGAAAAAAGCGATCGCATTTATTTCCCTTCTTTGAGGGTGGCTTGGGAAAGGCACACCGCCATTTTTTGGATGTTCCATCTGATGAAATGGGTGGAAAATAAACAATATCCTTCAGCATGTGGATGAAAAACAACACCTAAAACCCGGAGCTGTGTGGCTACTTCCATTTGCTTTTTCGCCCCCTGGAAAAAAATACATATTTCCAGTAGTGATAGATTCCCTTTAAAACCAACAAGGGAAAAATAGAACAAGGGGTTGTGTGGCCATTGACTCGGTTGCGTTCTGCTCCCCTGCTAAAAGTTTAACTTGTACTGACTTAATGGAAAACCCATTAGTTGGCAACAAGTTTTTTTAGTCCTAACTTCCCTTGGCAAAACATCTCTACTCTTGGTATGGTAGCAAAACACTTTGTTTTTTGCAGACCCCCAGTAAAAATGAACAGAACCAAAAACACTAAACAAAAAAAACAACTAAACAAACAACATGATCCAAGAACAGTGAAGAAAATGCGGCAAAGGTGGGTGGGCGGGCAAAAACAAATTGGTCACCAGCTCCGCACTTCGCGCCTGGGCCTCTGTTCTGGCATGGTCCACCAGAGTCCGAGCGTCCGCGGTCAGGCCGCTCATCGCACAGCCTGGGCGTTGTGGGGAACGGAAGACGTCGAAACGCGGCTCGGGGCTCGGGAGGTGTGCAGCGGTGAGGACCTGGAAATGAAAAATAGGATCCTGGACCCTCAAGCTACCCATTAAAAATGGGAGTTCACCAACCATAATTTTTGGGGTCTTTGACCCATTTTTGATATCACCCACCATAACTTTGGGGGTCTTTGACCCATTTTTAAGTTGGATTTTTTTGAGGGTTCAGGATCACTTTTGGAATGACTACCAGTCGCACTGGTTTGAGGTTAACGGGACGGCTTGAGCGGTCCCGGTGGTACCTGGGAAAATGTTGAACCCGCCCAACTTGGGTGGTGCGACCAGGTCTTACCATAGGGAAACCAAAAGGTTGAAAGGATTCGCTTTGGGCAAGTGCGCGAACACTGCAGAGCTTTGGAGGGCATGGAGGGCAAACCACCATTCGAAAGCTAAATTGAGGACATCTCTGGTATCTCTAGTTACCTACACACCCCCTGGCGGGTCAGCAAAAAGGCAACATGTCGTTATTTGCAGCCCCCTCCAAAAATGGCTGCAGAACCCCCCCCCAAAATAACAACAGGCAAACATACCAGTGAAGATGAGGGAACTTGAGAAAAAGAAAAGAACAAAAAACAGACCGGAAATGGCTGCAGAACTCGAAAAGATCAACAAACCAAAACAAGTGTCGGATAACCCCTCGAACAAACCATTTGGGCATACCCCGGCCTCCGCCGCTCCGCCCCCGGCATGAAGACTCCTTTAGACTGTTGAGGGTATGGGATCAGGTAGGCTTCTTGGACATACCAACAGAAAACCAGCGTTGCGGGAATGAAGTGCTTGTCCCCCCTTCTGTGATGCAACGGAAACTCCGTGCAGAGGATAAATGGGAAACCCTAATCGCCAAACCACCGATCCAAATCACCAACTATAGAGGGAAGCTGATTGCGGGCATGCATGTCCACTGTGATACCAATGCTACTTCTCTAAAGGCAAGAACTAGAGGTTCAAATCCCGAAACCACCACTCCAAACCACCAATTATGGGGTTCCTTGATTAGCTGAAAACAAAAACAAAACGGTTCATGCTAACGGGTGACTACCTGATTTGTGGCACCCGTAGCAGCGATTTCTGGATCACTTGGAGTCTCGTCTCTTAGGTTCAGACCCATGTGACTGTCGATCTCCAGCAGCTTCTCAATGGACGATGGGTCCACCAAAGGCGACGTCACCCTGGCGACGACTTGGAGCACGAGAACTCGAAATGCCAACCACCTGCAAAAACCGAAAATTGGAGTTAATTACCTCCTAGGTCCTCCAGATTTGAGAGGTTGGAATAAGTTGGTACCCGATTATTTTTCTGTAGTCAGTTTTAGTCTCGAACCCTCCCAACCAAAACAGTTGGGGGCACCCTTTCGCTGGGAGACCTAGCCTCCGAATCCCGAAGGAAGTCCAAACTTGATCTTTGCCACCAGCATGGTCCTGGTGTCCCCGAAAAGTATAAAGTCAACATGAACTCGTGGAGTGAGAATCTCCCTTTAAATTCCCCCGCAAAGGTGATGAGAAGCAGGAAAAGGGGACATATAGGGAACTGTGCCAACTCAACTTGGGAATTTCACAACAAACAACTCAGCAAACCCCAGAAAGTGTCTAAAATGATGAATAGCTGCGTCAAGAAAAAGCTCCAGTTTGCCAACTCAACCAGCAGGCAAGAAGTGGTCTTTCTTTGGCAATAAGAACCCAAGTGCACCAAGTCCCGTTCTGCCCAGCCAAGATCCAAAACTTGCTGGTGCTGAGTAGGGAAAGTGGGAATGAACCCAGGGGTCCTTTTAAGGGAAGCCACCACTTGGATGGTTTAAATCATTCCAATTCTCATTCCCTGCCTATCGCACCAGCAGCAAGGAAACTGTCCCCAGATCCCCCCCAAATCCAAGATGCACCCAGTCTCATGGCCGTCCCCCCCCCCCCCCACACAAAACGTTCAGGCTTTATTTTGTCTTCAAATGGAGGAACCGCTACAACGGCCACGGTTTCCCGTTGCTTTCCCTTGAAAACCAACATACCGAGAGTTCCCAGAAAAGGAGAAAAAACAAACAAACAAGAAAAACGCGTGACAAAGCCCGCATAACGACAGACCTAGGCAGCAACTATCGACCTCGACCCAAAAGAAAGAAAGGAAGTCACCAACCATCACTATCGGGTTGCAATAATTGATTTCTAAGTGGGATGTGGACCATGAAAAAAGGGGAACTCACCAACCAGGGAATTCACCAACCATCATTTTTCTGGCCTGTCCTCAGATCCCTTGCAAAAAGTTTAAGTTTTAGTGGGTCAAGTGGAAATCCCCACTAAACACTAAAAAGCTAAGCTACGGGGCTGCCAACCACCAAGTTTTGGTAGCAAGAATTCACTTCTAAGTGGGATGCTTTTGCGAGTCCACGTCTCGGGTCAGGAAATCCGAACAGATCCTGTGGTTAGGACAAGCCCCGCACCAGGTCAGATGGACAAATTTCTGGGATGAACCACCTACCCACTGTGAAGAGCAGTTTTGTCCACATTCCTTCGAAGCTATGTCTGGCTCGAAATAATTTTTGAGCTCCAAGAAAGCTCTGGGAAAAGGAGGTATCACCAACTTCCGGTTTCAAGATTGGTCAAAAGAAGCAACCAAAGCCCTACTCCACATACCCACTTCGTTGTATTTTTGTATCTTTTGGGAAAAAAACAGGGTTTCCCGACTTCAAACACCCACTTCTTTGTATTTGTGGTATCTTTTGGAGAAAAAAAAAGAAGCAACAACCTGGGTTTCCATGGTAGCTACCTCCTGTTTTAGTAGGTCGACCTCATACCCAAGAACAAGAGGGTATTTGGGCTGGGAATTTGTTAACGCCTCAAGGTTTGCAAAAACAGACCATGGGCAAAACAACTGTAACTGCTCAACCTGCTATCTAACATGGGTAGCCCAAACACGAAGGTCATGTTACGGAACTCGCTGAGTGAGTTCCGATCGCTTTCGACCTGGCGCGGTTTTTTTGGGTCTCACAGGCCAGGGACCCCCCAAAGCTGGAACAGGCCCTGGTTGGAAAGGAATCTGACAGAAGGGCTTTGGGAATAAACCCGGGATTTGTTAAAAAAAAAAAAAACACACACACAACAACTGGTTTCTAGGTCCTCCAGATTTGAGAGGTTAGACTAAGGGTAACTCTTTTTTCTGTCTATTTTAGTAGAACCCTCCCCCAAGAAAGCTGGTAAAAGGGCACTACTGGGGGACCTAGGAAGGGAAAGATAATCGACCCGTAGACACTTGGCCCCGGGAAAACGACAAGAGGGAGGTTCGGAGCATCCATGTCATATGGGTGTGTCCGTTTTCTAAGTTACCCGTTTTGGGGTGGTTTTGACTTGCAATTCGGACCCCAGCAAAAAAATAAGAAGTTTATTGTCTTTGTGGAAAACACAGGGGACACCAAACAAACAAAACACCACAGAGGTGAGCTAATTCTGGGGGAGAACAGGAACACCGCAGTTTTGGCGTATCTCCTCCTACGAAGACACGCCCGTCTTTGTTGCGCGGGCGTTGCCGATAGCGCGCCTCTTCTCAACCACGAGAATCACCTCAGTCGCTTTCGTGGCAAATTCGGCCCGCAGAACCCAAAGCCCTAGCTGACGATTGGTCCCCAGCCACCCGGAAAGTTGGTGACCGATGTATTTTTGTCTTCGATTTGCTCACCGGTGTTTGGGGGTCTCAAAGCCTGGCAGGGGGCCCTAAATCAATCGAATTGGAGCCTCCGGGCACCCAAAGGTGGTTGGGAGATCTTTGGAGGTTTCCCGATTGACTTGCTTGGCCTTCGCCATCTGCCGGGAATCCACACAGCCAACCCCGGATTTCCCCGGCCGCTCACGAAGCGAACGAACGAACCCAACGACCGTCGCTGGGCCAAGCGACGCCCTCCTTGGTGCAGATTCCAATGGCCGTGGAGCCAAGCCTCGGACATCGGCGCTTTGCATCGGCGCGAAGGCTTTTGCGAAGGCTGGAGGCGTCTCATCTGCCTCTCTTGAAATTTGATTGGCTCTGGCTTGGGTCTTCAACCTCTTGACAAATTTGTCATTTTTTTCACAGAAAGCGTTGGGTTGATGTTGATTAGGGGGGTCACTTTTGCCACCTTTTCTTGGATTCTCGAAGTTGGCTCCTCCAAGGCCGACGCTATTGGTTTGAGCATGCAAGCAATGGTTCCTTAAATTTGCCACAACCCCCCCCCCCGCCCGGAACTTGTACTGGGTACAACGGCCGGGTATCTAGCCACCATCTGGACGAAAGCGGGGACCACCCTAAGAAGCCCCGGAATGATGCCCCCCCTGGTAAATACCAACAAACAATGTTTATCTAATGGTTTCAAAGTGGTGCGAGCGGACTTCGTCCATCCGCAGTATGAGGGGTACACACTAAACGGTTCCAGAGTTGTAAGGTTGCCACTCTAATTAAATGGGCACACATCTAGCCATATGCACCCAGCGCCGGCCATGTCAATTCGCGAATGAGCTTCTGGCACGGATTGAAAACTCGTTGGGTTCCGAGATGTTGAGAATGAACGACGGCCAATAAAACCATGTTTTTGTGTTGGGCTTCTTTGGTTGGCCCGACTGGCAAGCCGAAGGGTTTACAGAAGGAAAACTGGGGCATCCTCAGACCCCCTGCTAAAAGCTTAACTTTTGGTGAGTTAAATGGAAACCCCAACTAAACCGACTTAAAAGCCCAAAAGCAAAGGGATGGCTAGGTTCACCAAGTTCTCTGGGGTGTTTGAGTGGTTCATAACCATGTTCCCAGTCCCCACTCTACAACCAAAAGCCTTCGCATGGGGCTAGGGCTTCCCGTAGCGAAACCACCACAACCAAAAAGCCGGCTTCCTTGGCTGTGAAAAGCCAACGCCAGGTAAGTAGGTTGCAACCATGCTTACAACGCGGTCTGAGGTGACTGGGCTTGGCCCCTCTGGAACCTTTTATGACCATGTACTTGCTAAGTTGGTTGCACCTTGGGCCTGCGAGGGTAGACAGGGAGAAGCATGGAAGCCAATCCGCAGGTGTTCCTGAAATTTCTATTGATGTGAGTCACACCGCCAGGTTGCGATGATTTGGTCAATCAGCTCATCCGGAAATGCAATGGTGATTGTTGTGTCATGGGCATCCAGTGCAAGACGGAGGGTGTCCCAGATGGTTCACATTCCAGTTGCCCATTGACCGGCTGAACAACTCGGGCACTGTTCACTTTTTCTTTCCCTTACCCCGTGCCCTTTTTTCAGCTGTCTCCCTTTTTGGGAGGCGGCGTTTCTTCGTGACCGGACAAACCGTTGCGCCATGTTGAGAAATCCGCTCCCAATTCCCGCCGAGTCCGCTGCTTGATTGCCTCAATCGCATATTCCACCTGCAATGCATCGCTCTTGGCTCCATCAGACGCCGATTTTGTTCACGGGGGGCCCCTTGGCAATGACACTCGGATCGACCCCCCCAAGAGCCCTCACAGAGCTCCATTTTGGAGGCAGACAGCCGCAACGGCCCCAGAAAACGGGGCCTCAAGCCCCGACAGCACTTCCCCACCATTTCTCCGGCGGGACTCCGTCAGTTGATCTTGGTAGGGGCTCCAGGTTCAATCCATCGGGGACCTTAAGCCTTAAGGCTTATGATAAGAATTTAGGCAACTATTTGGGAATTGCCAACAAGAAAACAAACTAAAACAAAACAAACACACAGAAATAAACGCAACATGCGTTTAAACTAATCAAACAAACCCCTGAAGTGTCCCTGGCTGCATTTCGTTCTTTGTGTCTTCGTTTTGTTTTGGGAGACGCCTTTCCATACCACACCTGGACTGGCTTCCCGGCTCCCTTGAGCACCAAACCAGGGCTCCCTCAAAACCCAAAACCCACAACCAAAAGCAAAACACCAACAACATAGAACAGGATTGTGGGAACCGGAATCAACTTCTGTGATACAACAAAAAGGGCTTCCCAAAGACGATTTTCTTCATACAAAGGGGGATTCCCTTGTATCACAGAAGTGGGAAGAAACCCCTTGATCCCACAACCTTGACATAGAACCACACATCCCCGAAACGTGCGGCAGTCCTTTTTGCAACCTCAAGTAAACTATAAATAATGCAGAGCCACAAACCAACGGGCAATCCCTTTGTTGCGCGGCCACCTTTTGTCGGGGAACCCGTGGCCGCCTTCGTTCGATGGGATCCGCTCGCATCGGAAAACCCGACTCCGCGCCTGGAACAGTCGGCCCTCCGGTGAGAAGGTGTTCACCTCCGCCCGGCGGAGACCAGTTCTTCTTCGCGCCCGGGGGAAAAACAAAAAGGACACTTCACACGGTGCGTGTGTGGATTTTGGAAAACCCACTAGGTCCAGTAGAGAGGTTAGAAGGGCACCAACTTTTTGCTGTAGTCTATTTTAGTAGGGGACCCTCCCAACCAAAAACGGGGAGAGAAGGGCACTACTGGGGGACCTAGGGACATTTCACACGGTGTGTGTGTGTGTGTGGTTGGAATCCCTCAACATGTTGGTTTCTGTTCTTTTAGGGCACCCGCTTGAAAACCAGCCCAAAAGGCGCACCACCAAAACCAAGACACACCCGCCGCGCTTTGAGGATATGATTCTAGGGGAAAAGCTTCCAACCATTCTTTCAGGGATCCTTCTTTTCAGGAAACCCAGAATGAACGATTGAAAAGAATGATATGGGGGTGTCTTTTTTGAGGATGCCTTCTTTCTTCAAATGCAAACTGGGGGGGCGGGGTCCCCGAACACACCCATGTCGACCCTTAAAACAACGCAAGCCAAAATCGTGGGAAACCGTGGAAAAACGATCCAAATCCGCAAAAAGGAAGCGCAATGGATTTCGGAATGCAAGGGGGGAGCCTGGACCTTCAAACTGTTGAAGGCAAACCAACATAATAGAGCAATATCCCCATGTTTATGGGTAGCTCTTCCGGGTTCAAGGAAGCTCGCCAGAGAAGGAAATCGACGGTGCTTCTTTCGGATTCCGTGTAGGGAACTGGCCCAAAGAATTCTCAGGAACACGTACCGGCTCTGGTATGATGGAAAAAACACATAGCGCCCTTTGTTCTAGGCAGTAACCGCAACTCCCATGCCTCCATTGCGCTCAGGCGAAGCAAAGACCAAGCAGATAGCGAGCGCGCAACGGGTTTTCTTGTGGTTGGCCTCAAAAACCAACCAAAGGCGTACCAACTCAACAAAATGACATGCCACGAATACCTATGCTTGGACACCCACCCAACAAACCCCCTAGCTGATCTGATTTTCAATCCTAACTCTGATTGAAGGGTTGAGATCAAACCTTTCGGGCTGAAAAAGGGTGCCAATATGGCTCTGTCTCACTTTTGTTACAACACCTGCACCCTCAAACTACCCAAGATGAAAGAAGGCAATGTTGGGGCAATGTGGCCGTGGTGCAATGGGGTCCCATTGGCTTTGACAACCACAGCCATGTCTCATCTTCACAAATCCTGCACCCTCGCAGATGGGGAAGACCCACAGAAGTGGGTTCCAGCTACCTGCAGTGGCGAAACACCCCCCAAAAAATGGAATGGGGACCGTCTCAAAGTGCACCCCCTCAACCGAAAAATAAGAGAGGCTACCCTCGCAAGAGGACAAACTCCTAGCCCCTATGCTGAACACCCACTTGTTTTGTAGTCTAACTTAAACCCCGGACTAACACAAGGCATGAGATATACGTCAGTATAAAAAAAAAAGCAGTTCTTTTGCCTAAACATCTACCTGGACCCTCAAAATTCCCTTCAAACACGGTGATTGCCACAAAAGCATAGGGGTGCGTTCCCCTGCTTAATGACCCTAGAGTCTCCATGACCCTTAAAAACTGGTGAATTTCGGGTAATGACCCCATTTTTCTAGGGTCAGAAGGAGACTCCAGGTAGTTTGAGGGTCCAGGTACCCTCAAAAGTCCGGGCATTTGGTTGAGATCCCTCCGAACAGGAGCAGAGAATCGCTGGGCTGCCGGCCCCACGATCGTACTCGCTCCTTGAGAGGAAGCTCATGCCTGAGGCCGGCCCAAGATGCCAGGAAGCAAACGGTGGGCTCTTGGATTCCCAACTAGGTCCTCCAGTAGAGAGGTTAGAATAAGTTGGTACCCGACTTGTTTCTGTAGTCTATGTTAGTAGGGGAACCCTCCCAACCAAAAAAAGTTGGTAAAAGGGCACCTGGCTGGGGGACCTAGCCAAGTTAAAACCAAACCCTGCTGAATGCCCAGTGCTTCTAGGCAAGCACATGATGGTCTTTTCCCCTTGGTTTCCCAGGTTAAAACCCAACAAAAAAGGACACACCCGAATGTCGCCCTGAAGAACATGACTCCAACTGTAAGTCCAGGAAAGGCTGGCCATCGACTCTTCATGGACCTGAGCTGCTCCCAGTGGAAAAAAATACCTGGAGGCAGGCAACCAAGGGCTTGCCACCCAATCGAAAAAACCGAGAGGAAAATGGATTCCTGGGATTTACTGAGGGCAGGTAAAACCAAGAGGGAAAAACAACAAATAATCCTTGGTTTTGGGTAGCCATGGTTCTACAAGTGTTCAGCCTCTTGTAGTATACCTTGGTTGCTTGCTTTGCTAAGCAGCTGCTCATTGGGTGTCCTGGGACCCAGTTGAAAGGTAACCAGTTCGAGCTTCCCCAAACTTACCTGAGGCTTCATCTAGGTCCTCCAGTAGAGAGGTTTCAGTTTTGTCTATTTCAGTAGGGTCCCGAACCCTCCCAACCAAAAAGGGTAAAAGTGCCACCTAGCTGGGGGACCGAGTCATGGCTTTCCCAACTTTTTACAGGTAAAAGCATTCGGCCGTCTTGATCACCCTCTTTCAGCGGCTTGGCACCTGCGAGACTCCGAGGGAAAGAATCGGTACTTTTGTTTCGGAAGGGTCCGGCGAGATTTTGCCCACGAACCTTGACTTCACAAAACGGATCAAGCGCGAGTTTTTCTTCGCGCCCGAGATTTAAAGAAAAGAGCTCCCAGAATCAATAGACTTAGATCTTTCTTGGCCCACATCTGGGGCACTTTAAACAAAAAATGTTCTGCTTCGGTGTCATATTTTGCCTGCCCCAAAATATCCACACTCCCCAGTGGAACCCAGTTACTACTATAACCCTTCGATCACTTGGACGAACTTTGAACTTCCATGTCCGAGCAAACGCCAGAAAGCCATCCACCGAGAAAAAGTAGGGACCTCTGAAGCACAGACTCTGCCCAAATCAGTGGTTGCGCTGCGAAGCTAGTAAGTGTATTCGCAAATAACAGGGTTCATTCCGCTGAAGGTGACTCAGAAGTGGGTTATAACCTAGGTTGCCAACAGCTTCCTGACTGGGCTGAACAACCAGGTAAAAGTCCGATCTCAGGGCTTCCCCAACCATACCACAGCCAACCAGTTGCGATTGCCTCGGGGCGTCAAAAGGACTCATCGCATGACGAATTCCATCCAAATTCTATCGATCGGACCTTAGGCGTTCCTGAGCTCAGTCTATGTTCAGCTTGCCAACTGCTTTGGAGTCGAATCGGTGCTTTGCAGGTGTTTGGTGGTGGTTTCCATGGTAGTTTTATTCTTTTTTGCCAAGACAAAGACACGGTGGCTCAAATCGACCAATCCAAACCGCCACCTTAGGGGTACCTCATATTCTCGTCTAGAGCTAAAATACATGTATGTATATATATATATATACATACTTATATATATATGTACACATATCTATGTGTATATATATATGTATATATATATATATATATGTTTGTTTTGGCTCCCACCAGCGCAGACTCGCGTCCGAACCGCTTGCGTTCCCGAACTGCTCTCCGAGCAGCTCTGAATTCCCACCTCCGATGAGGCGCCTGGCAGGATCGAGGGAAACGCGCGGTGTTTCACTCGGTTCACCTTACCGACACCTCTGAATGGGGCAGGGTACTTAGTCAATGGACATATTGTGGATGGACGAAATCCATATCGCACCACCTAAGAACCCCTGTGACACTGTGGATGGACGAAATCTATTAAGCATGGCAGTCTATGGTCACATTCGGACACACATGAAGGGACTTGCAAACTTCCGACACAAACAGAACGCTCCTTAAGATATTCCCTATATGTTCTTTGCGGGGCATGCTCTGGATGGTTGCGAAATCCATTTCGCAACCACCTTGAAACCATGGAGGACCCTTGGTTTGTTAGCATTGAGAGGGGAATCATCAGAAACCAGGGTTTCTTAGCTGGTGCAGAATTTCGTCCATCCACAGTATAACCATGGTACGTGGGTTGTAGCCAGGCTTTCTAACCATTCACCTGTCTACCCTGCCCCTTTCAGTAGGGATCCTACTTGGATGTCCGATTCGTCAAGATAGCAAGTCGATGGCCATTTATAACGCTAACAAGGTTAACCTCACTTGGGAGGACGGATACGCAGGTTGCAACTTAGATTACCAACGATCTTACTCACTTGGCCGAACACCCAAGTAGGGTAGTTACACCCCAGTGAAAGGGGTTCCTTGCCTCCATGAAAAGACTGGCCTTGGGACCTAGTCCTCCAATTAAAACGGAACTCAGGGAGTGAGAGATTGAGGCACCATGAGAGTAACTGGACCAACCCGAAGCATCAAAAAACGACCCTCCCGTAGAGGGGTTCGGACCTTCATTTGGAATTGTTTGGACCTCCAAAAGGCTCCGTTTTGTGAGGCACCCAGATGCCACTGGGAAGACAAAGACCCATAGGTGTCCTTTTTTGGAAAATAGATGGCCCTTAGATGATTGAACCGCCAGGTAAACCAGTGCCCTCTATTTTTCAACCAAACCAACCAAAAAGGAAATTCATGCGAATGCCTGTTAAAGATCCACTCACAATTCCGGAAAATATGTTTGTTGGAGGCAACTATGCGCGACACTTTTGACAATAGCAGGACATGTCGCGGTTGAGTTTGCTTTCTGTTTATGGATTGCCTTTGACCTTCGTGGTTTCCTTCCGGCTAACACATGCCCGGCGCTGCGGAGGCACGATCTGAGGTGTCGCCTAAGACTGAGCCAAACGGCGGCAGGTGATCAGCCTGGGGTCCTTGTCTAGGTCCTCTAAGAAATTCACGGTGAGTCCTGGCCCCAAAAGGTGAGTCATTGCCCCAAAAAGTGAGTCATGGCCCCAAAAGGAAAAGGTGATCAACTTTTACTAGGTCCTCCAGCAGAGAGTTTAGAATAATGCTACCGACTTTCTTCTGTCTATTTTAGTAGGGAAACCAAAAACCCAAAAAGTTGGCGAGAAAGGGCACTTCTGACCTAGCTGTCTACCGCTCCCCAAACCTTCGCCGGTGGATTTCGAGCGTGTCGCCACTTTTGGTGGGTAACCAGCATTTGTCTTCTTGCGCTTTACAGGGTGGCAAGCCCATGGTTGCCTTCCTTCACTTCCATTTGCTTCAGCCGCCAACATTCAATGGTTCTCGGTAGTGGATGCCCTTTGAAACCCAGAAGGCAAAATAAACCATATTGTTCAGCAAATGGACGCTTACCAGCAGATGCCCAGTGGCCATGGGAAAAAAAGGGCATCCTTTTCTGGTTGGTTGATTTTCAAAGGAACCCTTCCCCAAAACAAAGTTGGAAAAAGGGCGGAATCCACTGGGCAACTGGGGGTAAATGGAATCACTGGCTTGTTGCAGGGTTTCGGCAGCGGCTTCAGGCTTCAGCCCAGCGAGGTGAGAAATGCGACAGATCTTCTCGAAAATTCCGGCGGTTTCTTTCGCCAATCCAAACCCAGGTCATCGGAACTGATTTTGAGGAACAGCTTGCGCTCTGGACCTCCAAAAAACCCTTCACCATGGAATAGTTCCCAAATTATGGGGTGAGTCCCCTTTTTTGAATGGATGGTTTGACTAGGTCCTCCAGTAGAGAGGTTAGAATAGGGTACCCGATTGTTTTTTGTTGTCTTTTTTAGTAGGGGAACCCTCCCCCAAGAAAGGGTAAAAGGGCTCTACTGGGGGGCCTAGACGCAGCTGAGATGGCGCCCTTTCGCCTTTGATTTCACGCAATCGCATGCCGAATTCGGACTCTGCTGCATTCTGCGTCTGGCGACTTTGGCCAACGCCTAGACTCCCAGGCTGAAGTAGCCGGTTCTCTGATCGAGGACATACTGTGGATGGACGAAATCCTGCACCACCTAAGAACTCCTGGAATGATAATTCCTCTGAGTCTGGAAATGCCAACAAACATGGTTTCGAAGCGGTGCAGGATTACGTCCATCCACAGGAGGATGCAGGGTTCTACAGCTCCTCAGGGGGTCCACCTTGAATTTCAACCAGCGACATCTTTGATGCGTTGCCCTCCTTGTGTCACAAAGAAGCCGACAGTTCTTCGAAAATCGGCAGAACAGAAGGCAAAAGGCCCTGGTTACCTACTGCAAAAAACAAAATTCATACCCAAAAAGGGGTTCCTCGGAGCGGAGTGCCTGAGAGTCACGAGCAAACTTGGACCATGTCCCGTCCCTAGCTCCTTTCTACATTCTAGAGTCTTGGAGCAGTAAAAGAACATGCTGAAGAATCAAGTTCCTTCAAAAACCAACAGGACTCCCCCTCAAACTTGAACTTGTCCCAAATAATTGAAGTGGAGAAATGCGCAGCACTTAAGCAAACGAACCAGCATATCGATCTACGTGGCGTGTCACCGGGTCAAACAATCGGATTCCCGCCAAAGAAGCTGACAATGTCATCTGCGTTCGTCTCAAAATAGGAATAACAACCTCCAAAATGAGTGGCTTCCTTTAAAACGATCCAAAAGGGGTACCAAGCCTCAAACACAGGAACCACACCGATTTGGTAGTTTAGTTCACGTAGACCAGAATACGACTGCAAAGGTGGAAACTCTTTAAACACCCTAAGGGACAACAACCCCTCAGCATCTAACTAGAAAAATTGGAAGGGTTTCTCATCAGACCTCCATTGAAATAAATGACCTCACCTGGTCAATTTTGGGAAATCCCCAGATTTTTGGGTACGCCAGACTCCCACATTGCTAGAGTGGATGGTCCAACCATGGGACATGTGTGCCAACTGTAACTTCAAAACCAAGGCAACTATCGAAACTTTTAAGGTACAAATTAAAAATGGGAAAGCCAAAAAGGCAAACCGTTACAAATAGGTCAACTTTGTCTATGGCTAGCTCAGAAACCAAACTGAACCCGCCATTTTGCTTGGTTTCTTTTCCCCCCACCTTTTGTGGCATTCACAAAAAAAACGTTTGTTTCCATTTTGTTTCCAAGGTCCTGAAGGGTGGATTTGGTCACACTCAGTCGCACTACCAGGCACGTTTGGGGGCCTTCCGAAAGGCTTTCTGAAGGCTCCAGGCTCACACTGCACAGGGATCCTTTGCCTGCACGCCGACAACTCCGGCAGAATCAGACAAGGGCTCGACGAGGTCCACAAATCAAAGGGTCCAAACAAAAAAGCGCAGACATGCATGTACATGCATACCAGCATCCCCCCCCCAGCAACTCTTTTCCGCCAGGCTCAAACTCCCTACTCTGGTTGGGAGGGGTTGTTGGTATACAATGCACACGAGCAAACGCCACTATCCCCACCACCGATCGGGCACCCAAAGCCAACACCTACCAACCTGCAAACTTTTCGGGGCCGCAACTTCATCTTGAGCCGTCCGAAAGTCATGCCCAACGTCTTTTCTTCGTGGCCTGAAACTCTTCGGCTGCCAGAAACTGGGTGCCTCAAAACCAACGCCCCGCAAAAAGCGAAAACCGAGGTCCCAATCTACCTGGAGTCTCCATGACCCTTTAAAAATGGGTCCATGACCCCATGATTTAGGGTAATGACCCCAATTTTAAAGGTTCAGAAGGAGACTCCAATCTAGAGGCCCCGAATCCCGAAACCTCCGATGCTTGGGACTTCTCCGGACCAAGCTCCGACTTCTTGCGGCTCGAGGTTTTGCATGGCCCGCACCTTGGTTTCAAGAGAATACCTGGGCCAAATCCTCAAACAATAACATATGCTAGAGCCTCCAACAACCTGCAGACATGTCATACCCTGATAAAACTTGGTTGCTGTTGGCCCCTCTGCAAAAAAAGTCTCACTGCTTGTGGCTTCAATGAAAAACCCAAATGGTTTCCCACAAAAATAAAATCTAAAGATCCAGCGCAATAGCAACCCCAGTACACCTTGCAAGGAAACGTCCCCGAGCAATTCAATCGGCTCAGCCCGCCCCCGAATCGCTCAGCCGAATCCCTCAGTTTCGTTGGCCCCTCGCTTTGCCCTCCTGCAGACAGTGGAAAGCCAGCAGGAAGCCTGAAGCGTCGCGACCGAAACTCTGAGCCATGGAGGCGAAAGCCGTCGCTCGGTTTGCTGGACGCCTAGTTTCAACTTGGGCCAGCAAGGTCCTCCAGATTTGAGAGGTTAGAAGGGTGCCCGACTGTTTTCTCATGTAGACTATTTAGTAGGGGAACCCTCCCAGCCAAAAAAGAAACGGTAAAAGGGGCACCTAGTTGGGGGGGACCTAGGCCAACTTGCCGACCACGAAGGGTTTTCCTTGCAGTCGGAAGCCAAAAAGGTAAAAGTACCCTCAAAACAAAGACGCTGGATCGCCTGGCAGGTACGGCAGCGACCCAAAATGAAAAACCAGGAGGGAAGTGCTGGTCACCCACCATGGCTGGGATTGGGTGAAAAAATAGCTCGCTTGCTTTCCGCTCCCCTAAAAAAAGTTGTTAAGCCTTAGCGGCGTTTAGGTACGGAACACCCCCCTCTTTCGTGGGCCAAAAAAGTTCTCACGTGCGAACCTCCCTTGGCGGCAGAATGGAATGCACCAAGTGGGAAAGGTTGGAGCCGGGATCCACGGTTGGTTTCAGTCGGACATCGCCTCGAACCAAAACAAAAAAATGTCTGGTGAACTTCGAGGTGGTTTGGTTTATCACAAGCATCACAGAAACAAAAAACAATCTGGTTCACTTGGAGGTGTTTTGGTTTATCAGCATCAATCAGATTAGGGGCTTCTGCATTGGAAAGGAGGGTCCCTTTCGAAACCCATTAAGGAAGGTTTGGGACCTGAGTTTGAGGAACAGCTCGCGCTCTGGACCTCAAGAAAGCCCTTAACCATGGGATTGATTGTTCCCAAAGTATGGGGTGAGTCCCCTTTTTTGAATGGATAGTTTGACTAGGTGCTCCAGTAGAGAGGTTAGAACAAGGGTGGCCTTTTTTCTGCAGTCGATTTTAGTAGGGGAACCCTCCCAAACAAAACGGTAAAAGGGCACTAGTGGAGGACCTAGGAGGGATCCCAAGATTCTTAGCGCTTCCAGCCGACTCGAGAAGCCCGAAACCAGAATCGACGATTCGCGCGCCTGACTCTTCACCCAGCAAAAGCACGGAGGTGAGGTCGTACCTGGCATCGAGCTGCTCGTTTCACGCCTGAATCGTGGAATCTGAAGCCCTCCAGCGGGCTGTGGGACCCGGAACAGTGGGGAGGAACCGCGAGTGATCCAGCCCCGGCACGCCCAGTGACTCCATTTACCTGGTTAAAGGCAAGTAACTGAGGGAACCACCCTTCAAGAAACCAAGTTCAGCACCCTTCAAGAGAATGGCAAAGGCCCAATTTGGATGGTGACAATCCTGAACCGTAAACAATGGTGGTCATACTACCCCCCATTGTCTTAATGGTGGCGGGAATTTCAGGGACAAACTTCCCAAACCCTTTTGGAGTGTCGGGAGTGTCGGGAGTCCGGACCTCGATCTGTTTTTGTTCCGAGGGCGAGGTACTCCTTTGGATTCGGCAACGTCGGAGTTTCGGAGCTGAGACAGCGGAGAAACCCGCTGGAGGCTGGCTGACAGAACACGGTCCTCCAGATTTGAGAGGTTAGAATAAGGGTGCTAACTTCTTCTGGACGTCTATTTTGGGAACCCTCCCCGAAAAAGTTGGTGAGAAAGGGCACCCAGCTGGGGACCTAGAAAAGATCCAGCCCCTGGCGTCCTTCTCGGTCAAATTGGCGTTTCGCAGGCACCGAGTTTCGCAATGTTCCTCGCATTTCCTTGGGCTGCCTCTTTTTCAAGGGTATGATGTCGACCTTCTACTAAAAAAGGAGGTATTTACCACGGAAACCCAGGTTTTTCCAAAAATACACTAAAAAAGGTAGGTATTTGGAGTAGGGGGTCCCCGGAAAACATCAGGACATAGTTCCTCATGAGAGATTCCCTTGAAAACCAACAGGGGGAAATAAAACACTATTCATTGAGCAAATGGAAGGTTCCCTTGTCGCCATGAACTTAGATTAGGTGGTCCCAATCGCTTCCTTCGAAGGTGGCTTGCATTTTGGAGCCATGGTCCAAAGCCCCATGGGGCCCCGGGTCCGCGTCTTCGGCCGCGTACCCCAGGAGAGGATCTTCATGTCCGCCGGGGAAGTTCTCATCGATCCCGGTGGCGAAGTGTGAGGGCCTGGAAGCCGACTCGAAGCCAAAACCACCCCCAAACCGAAGCTGCCCCCAGGAGTTTTCTTGGGGAGACACAGCGACTATAGAGCCACCATGTACAATATGTATATTATTAATATATATATATATGATACATCCTGATTTACCCTGGGGGTGTCTTCGTCCTTGTTTTTTGGAAACCATGTTAGATGGAAGAAACCCGCGCTTCCCTTCAGTATCAGCCCCCGGGCCCCTTGGTATGGTAGCCAACACATGTGCTGTTGTTTTTGTTGCGCAGCCCCGCCCCCTTGTTTTTTTCCGCAGCCCCACACCAAACATGAACAGAACCAAACCAAAAATACAACCCCCAAACACATGCCAGCAGTGAAGCTATACTTGCTGGACGTACATGATGCTTCCCCTGACCATGGGGGGCAGGCGCCTAGGCGCCTGGAATCACCTGGCCTAAGCGACATGCCAGGAACCAGGTCACAACCTGACTACCAACTGTGTGTTTTAGGGGTCCAAATCCTGGGCATGCAGCAACGGCAAGCCCCAGATTCGAGTAAGTGCCAAAACTTAGCAGCACCGCACCTTTTAGCTTCCCCTCTGAAGCAACCCGAAAACAACCACCCCAAAAACAGAAAGCCAGACTCAACGAATGCCCCATTGGCTTCTGGTTCTACTAACCTGGCTAAGTTTTATGTGGTTCATACAATCCATATGGCTGTGGCTCAAACAAAAGGTACCAAAATGGGTTGCCCTGGTAAGTGGAAACCTGGACCAAAGCCTGCGGTCTGCCCCTCCTGTTTAGTTTTGAGCCACACCCAATGGGTCTGGCTGCGGTCCCGTTCGTTTCTCTATAGACGAATCAGCCAGAGGCCGCGGCTTTCGGAAGTCCGGCTCCTCGCAGAACAAGTCGTCCAGAGTCTTGGGCCTGGAAGGACGGTCCCATTGAGCCACTGGCTCAAAGCCGATCCGAAGCCGAAGCCCGGGGATCGAAGCTTCGTAAGGGCCAGACTCGCCGGAAAGAATGTTGCGGATTCGAATCCGGCTTTCTACTTCTTGAAGCATGGCTTTCCAATTCTTGAAGCATGGCTCTGGGATTACGACCATTTTTGTACCGATCGGCTTTGATTGCAAGTGACTCAATTGGAGTACCTCCCAGTGGATCGATCCATTTACCCGCCTTTTGGCAGCGAACCAAGGGGTGAAAAACCCACCCAGTAGAATAAACCAAGAGGTGAAAAATGGATCGATGGGCTTCCCATTATAGTACCTGCCTTTGCTTTTCTTGACTTGTAGAAACCGTCGTTTCCGCTTAGGGGGCTGTGAAACATCACCTGGATCAATCTGAAGTGAGCTTGCTTTTGGTCGGCAGCTCACCAAGGGGTGAAAAACCCGCCCCAGCGAAAAATGGCTCGATGGGTTACCTAGAGGCGTAATTAAACGCGCCTGATCCGGACCCAATAGAAAAACCGGCGAAAGGTTAAGAGGCTTTTTGCGCCCGATCCGGATGCACTGGGCCGTATATTTGCGGACAGGAATCTGAGTGGGTGCATGGGTCCCTTGGCTCCACCAAATCAACAGGCAAGTGGGGCATTGTTTGTTTAATTACTCTTGGTACGGGGATCCGGATGCATGAAAAACACCGATCGAACCTTGCAACTTGTAAATGGCGTTTTTTCCCTATTTTGGTGGTGTTGAAAAAGCAACATGTTTCAACTGGTTGCAAAATGGAGATCTTTTAAGGAGCCCTGTTGTATGGAGACTAAGCCCACATACCCCAGTTAGAGACATGGTTGCAACCTACTTACCTGACGTTGGTTGTTCACTTTTAAGTAAGGGTGTGTGTGTGTGTGTGCTTTGGCGCCGTCCTTTGGGGTTGGTTTTGAAGGAAATAAAGTGCGCAAACCACAATTCTCGGGGTCCCAAACCCTATTTGCACACATGCCAAGCATCACTGGGTCCCATGGGTGGAAATGGGACTTCCATATTAGAAGGTTCCCTAAAGAACAACATCAACAGGAAAGTTCCTAGATGGGGGGAAGCTGTGCAGGGAGGGTTCAACAGTTCGCAAATGGATGCCACCATTGCCACGTCCTTAAAACCCAGGTAGAAAAAAGGTTAGTGCGTCACAGTCCCACCTATACCAAGGTGCGGATGTCCTTTTTTGTGCTACGTTGCAAGATTGATTGTACCGTAAGCTAGGTCCTCCAGTAGAGAGCTTAGAATAAGTTGGTACCCTTTTTTGTGTAGTCTATTTTAGGGGAACCCAAAAAGGTAAAAGGGCACCTAGCTGGGGCACCTAGCTAAGGGTCCTGGGGCCTGGCATGCAGAAGCTGAGGGTCCCCACACCGCAAGTTGCTTCAGTGAAAACTTGGTTGCTTTCTGCTCCCCTGCGAAGAGTTTAACTGTTAGCGGTCCAATACGGAAAACCCATTCGCTGGCAAAAAGTTAAAGTCCTAACATCCAAGCAAAATGCACCAAAGAAAAGGAATCCAGCGAGCTGCAGATACACTGGGAAATCCTGCCCACCAAGACCTACTTGGGTGTCTTTTTGTTAATGGTAGAGTTGTTGGTTTGTTTAAAGGGCAACCAAAAGGAAACCAATCATTTTGCAGAGTTCCCCTATTTTGAGACAAACCCACCACCAAGAAAAAATACCAGCATAAAAGAACCTCCTGCTCCAGATATCCAGTTTTCTCAAAGGGGTGATGTCAAACCGACACACCCACACACCCACACACACACGGCACTCGCATGCACAGCTAGCCAGCCAGCTACACCTATCCTGCCACTCACCGGCGCGCATCTGCTTGGGCATGACGTCAAAAACGGCCTCTGGGAATCTCCACTCATATGGGGCCAGCGTCCAAAACAGCTTGGGGCAGCCCAGCTGGCGCACCACGTCCCAAGTGCACATCTCTCGCCAGCACAGCGGGCTGCAGGAGCTCTCCTTCATCATGAGCCGCAGGGGCACGCCAGTCCCGAAATTCTTCTTCGACCCATCGCGCAGGCGGAGAGCGCCCAGACGTCATGTTAACCCCGGATTAATAAACCCCTGGTTGATTTATGTTGTGAGGTGTCCCCCTTTAGTGGGGATTCAGACCATTTTTGGAGGGAACCCACCCCCAATAGGACGGTCTTTTTCATCCTGGGTCAACATTGCAAGATCTCGAACTCCGCGCCGTTTTCCACCAGCGTGCCCAGTGCCGGAGCATTTTCACGCGCACCTACGCGCGTCTTTCTAAACGAGACCCTCCAATTGGGTTCCCGGCGAATTCTGCAGGAAAGCACCCAGATTACAATTCCCCCCTCCTGTGAGTTCCAACTAGCAACGTTCTCGGGGTTCGTGGCCTTCTTCGCGCTCAACTTTTTGGCAGGGAACCCGAAGCTCAACCCCCAGATTACCAACCAATGAATGGAAACACATACCAAAACGAGCTGCCAAGCTCTTGGGAAGCTGATTGGGCAAAAGCACAAAGCTCAAATGAAGCCTCGAAAACGGACTTCCTAAGCACCCACTGGAATGGAACCTCATTTCAGCCGTGAAATGAGGCACCACCCTCAAACTACAAGGAATTCACCAACCATATCTTGGGGTATTCCATGAACTTGACGGAAAGTGGTCCACCTAAAGTTCATGCCCATATAAGCCAAATGAGGTGCCTGGACCTTCAACCTACCCATCATGAAAAGGACATTCGCCGACCATATTTTGAGGGTTGCAGCATTTCACCCATACTTTACTTTCCCCATTGCTTTACCACTCAAGTCACCTCCCAAGTGGTAGCAAAAAGGGAAGCAGCCCCCCGCTTTTTCAGACTTTGACAAGGCCGAAAACAAACTGCCGAAAACAAACTGTCAACATCGTGACCTCCATGTTCCACTCGGAACTTTGAGGACAACGCCACAAAGACTTTGGGGTTTGCCTTCTGCCCCATAAAACCAGCACCTGGACCCTCAAACTACCCATAAAAATTGGATATCACCCCATAATTTTGGGGGTCAAACCCATTTTTGAGTCGGAACTTTGAGGGTCCAGGGTGAAACTAGGGTCAGGATCCAGCTCCCCTGCGCCATTTGGGCGTGGCTCAAAAAAAACGGGCCCAAAATGGAAGCCTGGTACATGGAAAAAGGGTTTTTACCGGCCCTTACAAAGGCTTTTTTAATGAAGGTCTGGAAAAGTAGACCAAGACCTGCGGTCTGCCCCAGCTGTTTCGTCTTGAGCCGCCCATGTGTCGGGCCAACCCCGCCGAAGATTCGGCCCGGGCCTCGGCGGTTGGAGGCCCTGGAGAGGCGACGCGCCGCCTACGCGGCGAGGGCTGAGAAGTCCCTCGGCCTCGTCGTTTTGGAGCTGGACCCTCAAACTACCGAAAAAAAAAAAAAAGGGGAGATCACCCACCAGAATTTTGGGGGTCCAAACCCATTTTTAAGTTGGAATGTTGAGGGTTCAGGTGGCCTTTTATCACCTTCTTCAGTGGAACCTGCTGGAAGACATTGTCCCTTGTCCTCTTCTTTTTGGAGTTACCCCCATTTTTTGGCTCCCCCTCTTTTTGGATCGAGTCACATTTTACCCTCCCACCAATTAACATGGAACCTGACGTTCGGGGAATCGGTTCTGCTTTGGACCATTTTCCGATATGGCCCCAAGTTGTCACACTCCCAGTGTTGGGCCGGCAGTTTGAGTGCCCATCCTGTAGCTTCACCAACGGATGGGGATCCTAAAGATATTCAAATATTATAGGCATTCAGGCGCCCGTGTTCATATTTTTTGTTCTGGGACCCGTGTGCCGCTTCGATTGGTCTTGCAAATGCAACTCGAACTCACTTTCTGAACGGGTTGGGTGAAAAATATAACCAACCTTGGGTTTTTGTCACTATGAGCCAAAACTTCCATTTGCAAAGACGTTTCAAACAAAACCTCCCAAACGGAACTCCCAGTGCGTTTGCGAAGCCTTCGGGTTCCTCGCCTTCGCTGTCCGCCAGCTCCGCGCTGAAGACGCGCACCGTGCCCCGCCCCGTCGGCAGCAGCCGCGGCAGGAGCTGAGAACCGAAGCGAACGCGAAAACCCAGGCGGAAGCCGCGCCCAAAGCCGGGCGGCGGCAAAAATAGGAACCTGGACCCTCAAACTACCCATAAAAATTGGATATCACCCCATAATTTTGGGGGTCAAACCCATTTTTAAGGGAATTTTGAGGAGTCTCCATGACCCTTTAAAAATGAGGTCATTGCCCAAAAATCCAGGGGTCAGGGCAATAATAGGCATGTAAAATGGGTTTCCCCTGCTGAATGGATAAAATTTGGGGTCCAATTCCTGCTTGTTGGTTTCTGTTTGACCTTTTTTCTACAGTGTCCAGGACCCCTAGAAAAATCCGGCCACAACCCCTTAGTTTTAAGAAAATGATCCCATTTTCAACGGGTCATGGAGACTTCAGGAACCCAAAAAAGGGTTGCCCTGGTAAATGGAATCTTTGTTTTTTCGGGGGAAATATGTTTGACCCATACCCAGATGTTCTGAACACCGGTCAGTCAGGTGGCACAATTTTGGGAAGAGAACAAACCCTGACCCCCGAAAAGAGGAAGGCACCCGTGACAATTTTTTTTCAAACAAAGTTGCAAGCATGGGAAAAAGGCCTGCTTAGAGTCTCCATGACCCCTAGAAAAAGGGGGCCATAACCCCTCAGTTTTGGGTAATGACCACATTTTTAACGTGTCATGGAGACTCCAGGTACCCAACAAGCGTTGCCCTGGTAAATGGAACCCTGGGCTGAAATTTGCGGTTCTTTGGGGGCATGGACGCTTGGAGTCTATCTTGCAGCCAAGCACCGTGCCATGGATTCCGTTTTCCTGGTTTTGCAGGTAAGCAAGGATTATCAAGAAACAAGTAGTCTTTCAATAGGGGTCTGTGCTTTTCCTTGTTGGTGGGAGGGTACCTCAAAACAAACAAGCCAAAAGCACTCCGATCTGTCCACCATACGGGGGAACCGTGGTTCTTGCTGACACATGGGGCAAACTGAGCGACCGCCTGCACTTTTTTTTTGCGGCGGATGGACCAAAAGCACCAAACGCGCCAATTGGTCTGAATGACGCCTTGTGCATGAGGCAAATGTCCTACTGGTGCGAAATGGACCACAGGGTGCACCTTTGGGCCATTTTCATGAATTTGGCGGTTTGGGAGCTATTGAACCCCTGGTTTATGTTTGGTCCGGGGCGGGCGTCCCACTTTGCTTTCCGATCGAGTCACAATGTGGACTAATCTCGGGTCAACACTACTCAACACATCCAGCCTTTTGTCTGGACAATTTAGGGTATGTTCGCAAAACAACCTTTCCATGGCTTTTCTTTTCCTTTTGTTTCTCGTTGAAAAAGAAACACGAAAACAACGTCTTCGATGGATTTTCGGCGGGTAGTGCGAAACCAACCCAAGCCGGCTGAATTTTGTGGAGGTCTGCAGGATTCAGTCCCTACGAGGTCGGTCAGCGCAAGCTGCGGTCTCAACCGCGCCTGCAGTCGCCAACGAATTCGTTCTGCATGAGTTCTGTCCGAGCGCATGCAAGTTCACAACCCTCATACCGAATCCTCCGGGTACGACCTGGCGAATCTGAAGCCCTGGCCGCGAATCAGGAAAATGCTCCGGCTGCCAGTGGAGCCCACATGAGTCATAATCAAAACCCGGTATTAAAATGGTCTACCCAGAAACATGCAAAGAATTAAGAAGGCGGCCGCAGCTATTTATGGTTGGGACTGTCCCTTACTACCCTTCGCTTACCTGGGTTTTGATTGTGGCTCACATCTGCCTTCAGAGAAGGTTGACTGGGTCCTCAAGCCTAGTTGATTGAACCTCGACACGCGACAGCAAAGTCTGAGGTGCTGGTCGGACCGACACTCGAGGCGTCATCCCCGCCGACAAGGATGCCAATCTCACGCAGCCCGCAGACAGGCGCGTGCATAGCCAAAGGCTTAGCACCCCTAGTTGCAAGAGCTTGCCGCGTGTTAAATGGAGGGCCATTAGGGCAACGAACCACCGAGGAACTGCTGCTCAAGTCGGCAAATTGCTGGAAAGGGATGATGGCCTCAAGGGCTCACCACAGGCCAAAACTAGCCACTGAACCGATCTTCCCAGAAAGTGTACAGTCCGAAACGGAACTCAGGCAGTGAGCCAGGGGGTACCCCTAGAATGCCGGTTTTCTTTTTGGTTGTATTTTTGGTTTTCCTGCAAATGCCAACAAAAAGGATACCCTCCAAGAGTCGACACACCCCTGTGCCCTCAATGGTTTGCCCGTATTTGGCTAAGCCACCAAAACTCTATAAACCATCCAAGTGGTTTCCTGCATTCGGGGACCAAAGCCTGAAACTACTGGAGAACCTATCGCACCAGCAAGAACGTTCGAAAACACAAAAAAAAAACAAAAAAAACTCCGGCGCCTAGCTGGGGGCACCTTGGGGGACCTATCGCAGCAGCAAGAACGTTCGAACAAGGCCGAAGCCTTTTTAAGGCGCCTCTTCCTCCAGGATGGCCCGGCTGGCGTACTGCCGCAGAAACGCCAAGGAGGCCAGCCGTGCCGCGTCCTCCTTCGGGACTCCGCTGCCCTGACGAAGGATCCCGAGCGCGAGGCACGGCATCGAGACGGCGGTTTGGCACCCGCGGAAGCTGAGGAAGTCGGAAAACTCCCTTCCGCCCTGACATCAAAACACCTGGAACCTCAAACTACCCAGCAAAAATGGAATGAATCAACCAGATGATTGGGTTGCGAGAACCATTTTCGAGATGGAATTTTGAGGGTCCAGGTAAACGAAAGAGTATTGAAGCAAGCTGGCAGCTTCTGAGATATATCCGCCGCAAAGCAAGTTTGATGTCCACAAACCTAGTGAACCAGCCGCGATAGCAAGTAACCCTTCGCAATTTTCAACTCTGGGTTTTTCTATTTGATGGTTCCCTTGGTTGTCATAACTGCCTGTACCAGGTAGAATCATGTAGCCGTATGCAAAAGCAAGTCTGACGTAGTTGCACCGAGATGTATCTCCGGCAACATGCTTTTTCATGGAAAGTCTTCCGACCTTTAGTTGACAGGGGAACCAAGCCCCCAGTCAAGCGTTTCTTTTTTCAGGGTACCTTTTGGCTAGTAAGGGAAGCACAGGGTGCTGCAATCGACTCAAGAAGTGGGGGGGAGACGGGATAGTTTGCTCGAACCTCGTATGAATAATACGCATCGAGCTGTTCAAATTCAATGTGATTACGAGCAACGGACCAGGTCATCCGGGGATCGAGTTCGAGTGGGCCCACTTTTCGGGTTAGGTGAATGCGGGTGAATGTGCCAGTTTTTATCGACCAAACACCAAAAACTCGGGACGACTACAAACCCACAACAGAAACACTGCAACATACGCAATTCCCAACAGAAAGCACCCTCCAGTGGAGAGGTCGCTGCGGACTTAGCATTTTGAGGCACCAAGACTGGGTCCTCCAGTAGAGAGGGTAGAATAAGGGTACCACTTTTTTCGTTTCTGTAGTCTATTTTAGTAGGGGAACCCCAAAAAGGGTAAACGGGCACTACTGGGGGACCTAGGGGCAGTTTGAGGCACCAAGTTTCCCGGAGTTTCCATGACCCGTTAAACAATGGGGTCATGACCCAAAATTAAGGGGTTATGACCCCTTTTTCGAGCGAATTTGGTTTGGCCCCGACTGACTGCCGACTCACTCCTTCTTGCCTCTTCGCTGGGGCTGTCCAGAAGCTCTTCGTAGGAGGCCACACCTACAGCAAAAAAAAAACAACAGCTGAATCCGCTTGCTGAGTGGATGGCCCAAGAAGAGCCCAAACTTTAGATTTACCACTAAAATTGATCGTCCCAAAAAGTTTGAAAGTCAATTAACTCAGGAAGTGAGAGGAGGGGGCCCCAACAAGGAGGGGCGTGTAACGGTCACCCAAAATATATCCCGAAACCAAAAGGGTCCGTGAACTGTTTGAAGGTGCCTCAAGTTTTTTGGTCGTGGAGTTAAGTGGAAACCAAAGGGACAACCACAGCATTTCATCCAGTCGCCCTCGAACCGCGCGCTTTTTCGTAAAGGCTTGGCTTGCCCTGATCCAAGCTGCATGTGAAGCAACTGGGGTCCACAAACAGATGTCCCAGTGGATCCCAGGCGTTTACGCCTCTGTAGTAGGTAACCCATCGATCGATTTGGCTGTTGCTCAAAAAAGTGGTACCAAAATGGCACCTTGGTAAATGGAGCCAAAGGCTAAAACCTGCGTGGTTTCGTAGCTCTGGAATTTTGAGCCACGCCCATTGTTCAACTCTTGGTTTATTCTGGGTGGGTTTTTCACCCCTGGGTTCGCTGGCAAAAGCCGAATATGGATCGATCCACTGGGAGGTAGCTCCAATTGAGTCACTTGCAATCAAAACCGATCGGTGCACAAATGGTCGTAATCCCAGAACCATGCTTCAAGAAGTAGAAAGGCGGATTTCCGCAACTATTTCCGGCTAAAAATCTCCCTTACTAACCATCATCAATCCCCAGGTTTTGATTGCGGCTCATGTGTAGTGTTGGGTGTTGGGTACACGAACTATGGGTGTGTCTTTTTCTTGAAGATCCCCGTCTTGGTTGATTTTAGGAGAAAAAAAAGAGCAGCCCGCATTTTTCAGGCTCCGACCTAACCCTTCGTCATGCTCCGACCTGCCCCAGTGGATCAGAGGAATCCGTTTCGCCACTATAGCAAACCTTTCGATCCAGCCCTTGGTTTTTTGCTTGGGTCTTAAGCTTCCGGCCTCAAACTGTGGATGGTTGCGGGATCCTCTTAGGCACCGTTCAGAAACCCAACGGAATGGTTCGGTTTGCCTGGTAAATACCAAACGACAAATGGTTTCTCATGCTTTCAAAGCGGTGCAGGAATTCGTCCATCCACGGTTTCCAACAACTCTGATCCCCTGCAAATCATGGTTTCCCATGGTATCAAAGTGGCGCGAAAAATTTGCCCATCCACAGTATGACTCTTCTCTTGGGGATCAAATGACATGTTTTGCCCTGGGATCGGTTCCTGGAATCAACTGTGGCCGGACTATATCAGGCACGCCCAAGGAAAACAAAGACGCACCTGGCGTCTCCATGACCCGTTGCAAATGGGGTCACTACTCAAAATGAAGGGGTTATGACCCCATTTCCTAGAGATCATGGAGACTCTAGGCAGGCCGGTTTTTCCCATGTTTGCAACTTTGTTTGAACATACTATGTCATGGGTGCCTTTATTTTTTTTTCGGTGGTCAGCATCAAACAAGACATGCTGGTGACCTACTAGTGATAAACTGGGATCCACTGGGTCAGCATCCTGTTCTTGATTTGCCATATCTCCTATTTAAGGCCCGGTTGTTGACATTGCTTCGTTCGGGAGCATTTCTCGGATTCTACGTGGTCCTTTTTGACGATCCAAAGGCAGCGTCAAGTGCACTCAACCACGCTTCAACCGAAATCTCTAGGTGGGTGTTTGTCTAAGGGTTTTAGTCAAAGAAAAACTAAATCTCTGGATCTCTGGATGTCTGGACGTCTGGATGTCTGGATCTCTGGTTTTCCATCCCCCCCCCCCCCTCCCCCACCCCCTCCCCCCCTATTAGATGTGTCTTGCTTTTGTGTTTGGCGCGCGGGGGTAAAAAAAGACGAGCCCCCCTTTCTGGGCTTTGGCGTCATCGATACTTGCAGTTCCTTACAGGGGAGGAATACACTATATTCATTTCAGCAAACGGGATGATTGTGGGTATGGAAACCCAACCACCAAATTCCAAAAACTGAAAGCCTTAAATGTCCTCAGAGTTTTTGGCTGCATTTTTCGTCAGCTCCTTGGTCTTCCAAGTACCTGCAAAAAGGGGTCCTTCTTGAATTTGTTCAACTGGAAAACCTGATTTTTTAAGGGTCCTGGAAGATCAAGGGCTCCCATTCGCAGATGGAAGCTTCCATTTGCTTAAGCCCCCTGTGAATAAAAAATAAAATACAAAAAAAACATTTAAAAAAAAAAGTAGTGATAGATTCCCTTTCAAACCCAGGAAACATATTCTTGAGCAAATGGAGGGACGGATTCCGCTTCCGTCGGCGCGCGATTCCTTCAGCGCCTTCGTCTGCCAGGATTACCCGCGCCGCAGGCACTGACGCCTAACGCTCGGAGACTCGAGTTGGGGAAGATTTCGCGGTTTCCATTTATGAAAGAAGAAGGGTAAAAGGGGGGGGGAAAAACCACCAGCCAAAAGGAAAGCCGCCCAAAATGGGGGGTGGGGTGTGTGTGTGGGTGGGGGGGTGGAGGGTGGAGGGTGGGGGGTATATAAGGGTGCGAAAACCACCCAAAAATGCGTACCGACTCGAAAGAAGAAAATAAAAAGGTGCTGGAAGGCGATTTTGAGCATTCAACACGAGCCCACGGCTGGTTGATTCTGAAGAGAAGGCCGCAGTCAAACACACAGACATCAAGGCATCACATAAACTAGGTCCTCCAATAGAGAGGTTAGGATAAGTTGGTACCCTTTTCTTCTGTAGTCTATTTTAGTAGAGGAACCCTCCCCCAAAAAAGAAACGGTGAGAAAGGGCACCTAGCTGGGGGACCTAGTAAACGTCGCAGCCCAGCACCCGGGTCCCAACAACTGCTGTTTCCCATGTCCAAAATCCAAAGTACCTAGATCCTCTAGTTTTGGAGGTCAGAATAAGGGTACCAACTTTTTTCTGCAGTCCATTTTAGTGGGGGAATCCTCCCAACCAAAAAGGGGTGAGAAAGGGCACCTAGCTGGACCTATTGTCCAAAAAGCAGCGCTTGGAGGTTGCTGGGATGAAATTTTCTTGGGTCAATGGTGGTCTCCCTGCCCTTTGGCGACCTGGAACTTAGTAACTTAAATACTTGGTTAACGTTGGAAGGGGAGCAACCAATTAAATCTTAGTTGAGTGAGATTTCAACCACTAAACCACAATAAGCGAAAACATGTAAAATGCTTCCGAACAACAACGTATGAAAAGGTGACCAACTCTTGGAACCTTGACGAAATACCACCCCCAAATTGCCCAACTCTGCATGAAAAGTGTGGGCAAGCGAGTGGACCCGGAAGCACTACCCTCAAAGATGTGATCACCACTGAGCTACTATGGGGCGACTACCATTTTTAAAAGGTTAGTTTGAGGATGCCAGCTGGTTACAACTCACCTCCTGAGTGGGCTGCCCAGAAAAAGTAGTCATGATTTTTGTTCACGAAGTTCAGGAACTCAGGAAGAGAGAGAATGCTAGGTCCTCCAGTCGAGAGTTTAGAACAAGGGTACCAACTTTTTGCCCTAGTCTATTTTAGCAGGGGAACCCTCCCAACCAAAAAAAGGGGTGAGAAAGGGCATCTCTGCAAAACCTAGTTACCCACCACCAGGGTGAAACACATCTTTTTTGTGGTGTGGTGGGCTCAAGATCCAATTTTTGGGTCCTGGTGGGAGGGGGGATGAATTCAACCCCCTTACTCCGAACCAAACCCCCCCGGAGAAAAAAACAACACAAACGCCTCTGCACAGGGCGGCGTCTCCGACAAGGCCCGCAAGGTTTCGCACCTCAAGGGGTCGGGAGGGTGGGGTTGGGTGGCCAGGGTCCTCCAGGTTTGAGAGGTTAGAATAAGTTGGTATCACCTGTTTTTTGTTTCTTTCTTCTTTTTTTTTTCGTTTTTTTTTCCCCCCGGTTTTGTCTATTTCGGTGGGGTAAGCCTCCCAACCAAAGACAGTTGGAGAGAAATGGAGAGAAAGGGCACGCAGCTGAAGGACCTAGGATTTGTCTTAAACGAAGAGCTTGGTGTGGGGCTGTGGGTGGACTTGCAAAGTGCTCTTCACCTCAAGTATTTGCTTCTTTATTGTTCCCTTGTTGGTTTTTTAAAGGGGATCGGTTTCACTACTGGACATATGTTCTCAATTCTTTCCCAGGGGGCGCAAACGCAAAGGGAAGCTTTGGCGCAAGAATCTCACAGGCCTCGCCTGCAGCTTGGCTCGCGGCCGTGCGCTCAGTACATCTCATGCTGAAGGGTGGTCTTTCTGGTGAGATGGAGTGGGGGGCCCAGTTACCCTCCACAAGACCAAGGGTTCAATTCCCCGAAAACACGAATCCAAACCACCAATCCAGGGTAAGCTGAAAATGGGTCATAACTAAGACCATGTAATCCAACTTTCAAACCTACCCTAAGCTAGGACGTCTCACTTGAAGTTTGCCACATGACGAGTGTTTCCCTTTAATGGCAAACATAAAAAAGAGAGTCACACACCCCGAATCCAATTTCAGGATCAGCGGTCAAGCTTCATCCCATGAGAAAACAGAGTCCACGGGAGACTTGCCTCAATGCTCGAGGGTCTGGACCCCCATCCCCGAGGCTTCTCCCAAAAAAACATGCCTTCTCAATGCTTGGAACCGTAAAGGGCACTATACCCAGACATGAATTTACGTGATGATTGCTTTCCCAGCTGCCCCCCCCTCACACGAAGGCTCCACGCACTGTTGGCGCTGTTTCACAAATCTGGGCCCCTGCGACTGGAAATGGAACCCTGGTGTTTCCCCTGTGGTCCAAAACCAGCTATCCCCAAGAAATCAAACAGGGGACCCGATCAGGCCGACCCAGAACCAGCTGGGGGGGGAACCGCCCGAAAAGAAAGAAAAACTGAGAGGCACGATCCTTTTTACTGTAAGGTACCTCATTTTTGGCCATAGGCTTTTCCCAAGTGGACAGTGCCTTCTCAACTTGTTATATTTTTAGAAAATTAAAAGTAAAAATGAGTGAGCACTCAGAGGTTGGGGGAGCACGCAAACCCGGAGAAGGCCCGCAAAACCCGGAGAAGGCCCGCAAAATCCGGAGAAGGCCCGGAAAAAAATAAATCCGAGTCTGTTTTGTTTCGACGTGCAAATCCGCATCAATGGCCGCTGGTGATGCCTGTGCTGCTGCTGATGCTGGTGATGCCTCTGATGCTGGTGATGCCTCTGAACTGGTGATGCCTAAAAGTATCTAGCCAGAGCCAAGGCTGACAAACAAACGTGCCAACCCTTGAGAAGGCACGCTTATCTGGGGGAACCCGCAAAATCCAGAGGACGCGTGTCCAGACTTCCGAAATGCAGTCCATGCGCAGGCGATTGCCTGCATGCATAGCTTGATGCACAACGTCTTCAATGGGCCAAACTGGTCTTAGCAGCGTGCTGTCGTGCTGATGCAAAAGCAGCCTGATGGACAATTGATATTCTGCAAGCACTGCGGTCGACATGAAGGCCACAATCAGCCACAAAATGAGGCTCAAACATGTTTCCAAATAGCTTGGCCAACCCCATACACGAAAAGTATGGGCGAGTCCTTTTTCAAGGTACCCCTCTTTTGGCTGCTTTAAAGGACAGCTAGGGGCTAAGAGGAAAGCCGCCATTTTGGGGTCCTCTAAACCAAGACCGCTATATGTTCTAGCCAGAACTCTACGTCCGAAAGGCATATGATACAGCGCCGCGGACCCCCGCCCTAACCCAACAGCTCAAGTTCAACCTCTAGAATTCAAACAACGGCGGAGACCAAACGGTTTACGCACTTTCTGAGTGAACTGGCTAATAAAAGCTCCCACGCGTTTTGTTTGGGCCCTACAATTTGGACTTCCCAAAACTCACCGAGTCCCGGAAAAAAATGGGTTTGTCTCAAAATTAGGGCATCGCCGATAATATGAGTCTTTTTTCTTTTATATAGTTGAGAATAGATTGCATTTTGATTGATTCCATCAATTTGAATTCCATACAAACAAATAAAACTATAAGTCTTATTTTGTGAGTGCAAAAAAAGAGGGCAACTAATAGATCTCGATATCTATCCAACAAATGATCCATGGGTTGTTTCCCTTCAACGTCCACTTGGCGCCCGTGCCACAAGAGTTGCTCCTGCGAGATGGCTTCCGGACTCGGATCGTCGATCGTCACCGCCTGGCGAGTCCAGAGACACATCCTGTGGATGGTTCCGACATACTGTGGATGGTTGCGAAATCCATTTCGCACCACCTAAAGAAACCCTGGATTGATGATTCCCCTGTAAATGCCAATAAACAATGGCGTCCAATGGTTTCAAAGGGGTGCAGGATTTCGTCCATCCACAGTAGTAAATACCTCCTTTGTTAGTAGCTCGACATGATACCCTGAAAAACGGCTGGGTATTTGGAGTAGGGGGTATTTGGAGTAGGTGGGCCATACTGTGGGCGTCCATTTTTTTCTGGGCCTTCCCTGTGGGCGGTCATCTACATGGGAAGGCTTCCTTAATCACCAGGAGAATGCTTCCTACTGTGGATGGTCGCGAAATCCAGAAATCGCACCACTTTGATACCATGAGAAACCGTAACGTTTCTTGGCATTCACAAAGAAATCGAATCAGAATCTCAGAATTCCTAGGGTTTCGGAACGGTGCGAACGAAATGGACTCCGTCCATCAGTCGCTCGCCGGAGCCAGAGTGAAAACCCGGGATTCAAATGGCGGCGAGCCGTTGATTCTTGGTACCCGTTGCTTGGGGTGTTCTTTTTTTTTCCAGGGAGACCAAGGGAAATCGGTACATGGTTTGCCCACCGTGCAAACCAAGAATTGAAAAGGCAAAAATATCGGAAGCAATTCATTCATGGCTGGGATTGTCCCTCACCCTCCAGTTACCCGGGCTTTGATTGTGACTCAGATGAGAAAAAAATCCGGGGCGAAGTAGATGGCTAGGTCCTCCAATAGAGAGGTTCGAATAAGGGTATACTTGTTCAGGACGTCTATTTTGGTAGGGGAAGCCTCCCCCCAAAAAGTTGGTCAAAGGGCACCTTTCGCTGGGGGACCTAGATGGGGTGTCACGCTCCGTCTTTTTTTCGAGAGTACCTCTTTGTGGATCACTTGCCCAGTATCGGCAATGGGTTCTGAAAGGTGAACACCTTTTGCGACCAAAAAAGCCCGAAAAAGGTCAACCAACCTCGGAACACACACAAAAAAAATAAACAGCCCGTTAAAGTCGAACACCAAAAGGTGAAAACGTCGGCTTAGGTCAGGGTTTTTGGGGTCCACTAAGTTTGGCTTCTACTGGCAACCAACAAAGGAACACCCCCACTCTTCAGGGCTCCGATTCTCATCTTTGTACCATTGCTGGTATGTACAGGGGGAATGCTCATTCCGCAAACTGGGGTGGTTTATGTGGGGTCAACATTAGCAGGTAACCAAGAAAACCACCCTTCAAAACCACTGGGCCAGATTAATCGGCAGGGACACGTCTGAGGGTAAGTGGGGTGTTCCAAAGGGGGGTCCCTCCCCCCAAGGCTCCCTAAGGCTCCCGGCTCCCTAAAAAACCCGTTTCGGGACTTCCCCCCCGGGAGGGTATAGGGGTAGGAAGGGTATGGGGGAAGGGGGTCTAACCAGGGTCGGTTGCAAAATTGGTTGGAACAACTGGTCCAAATGCCTGTGGACAAATTGGCCAAGGAGGCTAAATTTCAATAGTCAGTCGATGTTGCAAGCTCACCTCGGCAAACTAACGAGCTTCATCACTCCGTACCGCCTGTACAGGCCCGGTGCTGGTAACCCGTTGGTTCTTGAGGGTCATGACCCCTCCAACGCACATGAGTGAAGAACTCCAACCAATTCCTCAGGGGGCCTTAAAAACAACCATATTTGCATGATGGCGTCTTCTGACTACTTCACATGGCAACTGCAAGCATTCGGGGGGATGTATCAGTAATCGGGAAAGTAGGTCGGTTGGTTTAACCACTTGTCGCTGAACATTTAAGAAAGGGACCGAAGATTCAGGCTAGGTTTTTCAGTTGGGAGGGTTCCCCTACTAAAATAGACTACAGAAAAAGCTGGTACCCTTATTCTACCCTCTCTACTGGAGGACCTAGTAGTCTAGGGGTACCTCCCCCATTCTTTCCAGGGATCCTTCTAGAAATCCTCCAGAAACCTGGGGTTTCTAAAATTGGTTGAAACATGTTGAAAAGAATCCCGGGGAAAACGGATCCGGTTTTCGAAAAGAAGGATGGTTGAAAAGAATGGACCAGGAACCAACCCCTAGAAGTCGGTGTTTCCCATTTGCTTGGGGTTCAGTTTGGGCCCCAAATTCAGCGTCTTTCAGGAAGCAGCTCCAGGTGGTCCTCTCAAACACCATTGGGTGAAAGTGGATGGCACAATTCCCGTTATGTGGGCACCAATTCCATTTAAGAGGAAGACGAAGAAGAAGAAGAAGAAGAAGAAGAATAATGTAGTTTCCACTCAACCCACTCCAAGTGTTTTCGACTTTCCGCAGGGATCAGTTCGATCAGGGTGCCATCTATGTTCACTGTCGCCTTTTGGTTCAGGAAGACCCACACACACCAGCTATGGTCTTGAATTGGAACTCCGTCTGCATATAAAGTAAATACCTGAGATGGATTTTCTGTCCACGGTATGGGGTCCACCTTAAGGACATCTAAAAAAAAAACGAGAGAACCTAAAAAACACTACAACATTGGAACACTGGAACACTGGAGCACTGGGAAATAGGAGCACTGGAACACTAGAGACCCGGAACATTGGAACACTGGAAAAGACTGGAACACTGGAACATGGAAACTGGAATGCTGGAAGACACTGGAACTTTGGAACAGTAACATACTGGAACACTATAACACTGGAACACCGGAAAAGGCTGGAGAAGACTGGAATCTTGGAACATTCTCTCTCAAAATTCTTTTGCCGCGCCTCCAGGCGGTGCCAGGCGTTGATGACCAGCACCTCCTCGTCCTCCTGCATAGGCTGGAAAAATCGATCGGACCCCGGCAAAAACATAGTGGAAAACAAAGGGACCAACCAAAAAAGCAAAAAAAAGAAAAAGGGGAGCTAATTCTGAGTAAGCATAGGCTTCCGGACCAAAGATGACAAGGTCCAGCGGAACGGGGAACCCTCCCGCCCAAAAAGGAAACGGTAAAAGGGCACTGGGGGCCTTAAATTATAAACTCGTTTTGCAGGAGACCCGGTACTTGCCTGTTCAACCTACTAAGTAGGTCATAACCAAGGATCTTTGCCTGGGCTTTGGGATAGTTGGCTTACCATGATTACAACCTGCTGAAATTCATTGGCGTGTTCGCCCCCTGGAACAAATGGGCAACACAAGTGTGTCCAGCTTAGATTGTCTTTGAAACCAAGAGGGAAAATTAAAACATATCCTTAAGCAATGGTCCTCCAGTAGAGAGGTTAGAATAAGGTACCAACTTTTTTCAGGACGTCGATTTTAGTAGGGGAACCCTCCCCCAAACAAGTCGGCAAAAGGGCCACCTAGCTGTGGGACCTAGAGACCCAAAAAAGATAACAACACTAGAAGTCACTGGAAGCAGAAGGTGAGGTGGACGAAATCCATTTCGCTTTTGTGTTTTCGTGCTTTGGTTTTTGTGGTTCCTTTAAGCAATACTAGGTCACCCAGTAGTGCCCTTTTACCAACTTTTGTTGGGGGAGGGTTCCCCTACTAAAATAGACTACAGAAGAAAAACAGGGACCCTTGTTCTAACCTCCCTACCGGAGGACCCAGCAACACTAGAAGTCACTAGAAGCAAAAAGGTGAGGTGTGTTCTCTGTTTAAAATCTTTGCTCGCCAGAGCTGGCCGTTTTCCTTTTTGTCAACCCGGGGCTGGTGCTTAGCTTAGGGCTGGCCAAAGACTCGAGCCTCAGTAGCACTCTCAGTCAACCACCCACAACAACGCTGATGACTCTGGCCAAAATGACCAAAACAAGTTTTGACCAAAGCACGGTGTTCCGTTTGCCCCCCCCCCCCATGTTTTGGCATCCGAAGCCTCGCTCGAAAAAACTCACCCCCCTTAGGCGCTTTTTCCGTGCTCAAAGTCTCCGAGCTCGGATAAAGGCCGGCGTGCGAGTTGTCTGTAAGTCAACGGAGAGATGTCAGACGGATTGATTCGCAAGGCATGCCTGACATCACCCCCGTGCACGGGCCAAGTATGATATGCAGCGGGGAGGAAACCCTGCAGCCCCCCAGAATTCGAAGGGCGAGAACCAAATCCTGTGGGGAAAGGGGGGCCGTCATGCTCCTCTTGATGCTGCATTTCTAGTGCCATGCACAGCTGGATTGCATTGAATTTCCGGCGGATTTCCAAACTTCACCAAAAACAACTGCCCAAACCTAGGAATACTCGATAAGCCACCTACTCCCCTACAAATAATTATGGAACCTGCAAGGAGGTCCCCCCAAAGGAGCTTTCTCGACAAGTTGGTGTTTTGGGTTCATTTGGGTTCCACGTAAATCGGCATAAATGTCCTTTTAAGGGAAATAGATGGCCCTGGTAGATGATTAAACCACCAGGTAAACCAGGGAAACCCCAAAAGGACACCTATGTCTGGGTCATTTGTCCAGCTGGCGAATTGATTTTGTCCTTTTCGAAATCCACCAGAAGGGCGCGGCCGCCCCTGGTGAGCCGGGCGCGATATCTTCGTCCCGGCCCAATGGCCCAAGCATCCGCTGGCCCGCGATGCGAAGCTGGGCAAGTGAAGAGAAAAAGCTTTCACAAGAGAGTGCCCGTACCTTCAAACCTTGGTTGAAGTTGGAAGGGGAGCCAAAATTCTCAAATCTTGGCAGTTTAGTGGATTTGGATTTCAACCACTAAACCACAATGAGCAAACATGTAAAATGTGTCCCTACAACAACCATGAAACTACCCTTCACTTGGCCTAGGTCCTCCAGTGAGGTTGGACAAAGGGTACCCTCTTTTCTGCGGTCTATTTTAGTAGGGGAACCCGCCCCAAACCAAAGTTGGTACAAGGGCACTACTGAAAACACCTAGCTTCAATTGGCAATCCATGATTCTGGGGCAACCCTCGCTGCCCCATGTTCAAGGCTTGTTCTTTCAGGTTCAGGCGCCAGATATGAAACTTACCCCGTAAAACTCCAAGCCCTGGGGAAGCTAATCTTTTACAGACATATAGCCCATGTTACCCAAAAAGTTGAAAAGTTGTGTTTTTAAGAGGTAAGTAAAACAACACACACACACACACACACCGGAAGCACCTCAGAGTTCCGTTTCTAGAAGGGGCCCCTTCCACCGTGTGTTCACATCGGCCCATCTCGGTTTGTCTCGGCACTTGCCCAGAATCCAGCCGGAGAATTGAACACACCAAAGGCTGGTGTCACCTCTGGGAACGGTTTTGGGGTTACACTCCGGAATGAGCTCTGAAACGCGGCATCCTGAGAAAAGGATTCGAAGGAGTTGAAACCTTTGGATGCAGAATGGTTGAAACCTTTGTGGCAAAGAGTCTTGATACCAGGTTTCACCACGGATGGTGAAACCCGCCAGTGGCGAAATCCGCCGAAGCACTGGGTACCACAACATGCCATATGCCATGCGCCCCAAAACATCCCCCATACCCCAAATCGGCTTTTGCAGGCACCCATTTCCCAGTTGATGGTAACCCCCCAAATGGGTCTTTGAGGGTTCCTATGTGTTGGCGCCCCCCAAAGGGATCGCGACCAAGGGTCAACCCTTGTTCGAGCATGCTTCAAAGGAGCCATTGTTTGAACAACTTAGGGGTCCTGGCTTAATGTTGGTCCATATTTATCAACCCCTGTTGATTAATAAGGGGGTGTTCCCCTCCACATCTGCTTTGAGAACATCCCTTGTTTGTGACGCTTTTGCAGGGAAACGGGTTTAGGGCTTAGGGCTTAGGGTTTAGGGTTTTGGCCATTGTTGGAGGCAACCCAAACAAATTGGACGACTCGAAATGGCGAGCAACAATTTCGATACCTAGTCCTAGATCGTGCTTCCCTGGTCCAACCGGACAGAGATTTTGAGTTCAAATTCCAAGGCTCTTAGGGAAGAGGACCTGCCGAACATCAACTTGCGTGGAGCAAATCGATGATGTTTTTGTGGATCTAGCTCGAGTTTGCCCTTAGGTACAAAGACTGTTGGGGCTAAAGCTTGGTGGATGTTGGAAGGGGAGCAAAACATGAATTTCAGCAGTGAAGTGGATTTGGATTTCAACCATTCAACCACAACACATTAAAAAAAGAAGAAAAATATATTTGAAAACCATGCAAAATGATTCCCACCAACCAACCATGAAAGGCCTATTTCTTTTTTGCCACCAATACTCCTCAGACCCCGTCCGTTCCCCTTCTGTACGGCGGCACCTTGGCGTCAGCACTCCAAACCCTCCGGGATCCAAAGATCTGCGAGAAAATTGTTTCCTCGGCAGATTCCTCGCGCAAAAAACAAAACGACTGGGTGTGTCTCAACATCTGAGACCCCTTTTGAAACTTTTGGATCTGGTATTTTTCAGGGAAACCAACAGGTCAACGATTTGTTTACGCGTATGGATCCTATTTTGGAGAAAAGCCCTCAGTTCAGCCTTTCTGTAGCCCCTCCAATGGCTGTCAAATCGCTCCCAAAATAGCGCCCGAGTGAAGGCAAAAGGCCTCAGGAGCATCTGAGATTTGACAGCCAGCTGGCGTGGCGCTTAAGCGCTCAAGGTCTCGTCTTTTGAGGCTACCAGTTTTGCGAAGGGTCGAAGGGTCGAAGGCAAGGGTTGCTTCACACCAGCCCAGGAAATGGATCCGTTCAAAGGAAAGTGTACACAGAATCGATCTCGATGCATTATACACCTGAACATTGCAACTTGTAAATGGTGGTTTCAACCTGAATTTGGGTGTTGAACAAGCCACATATTTCAAATCGGCAAGCAAAATGGAGATCTTTTAAGGAGGCCTGGTACATTTCATGGGCTTCGCTTGCTTTCTGCCAAATGAAACATGCTGGAATCGACATAAGCTTGGCCGTGGCTCAACTCGAAGTCATACCCAGTGAAAATGCAGGGATCCGATTCGCCACTTTTTGGTCGGTAATCCTTCGATCCATCTTCAACTCTTGGCTTTTCTGCCTTTACAGGAAAAAATCGTTGGGAAAAATAAGACGCGCAGATTTTGCCCTAAGAACTTCACCCTTTCGGCCATTTGATGTGAGTTCCTTGAATCCTGTTTTGAGGTTGAACATCTAGCCCTAAGAATGTCCAAAATGGCTAGAGCGAGGTCCGAAACCTCCGAAATGGAGGGCCCCTTCTGCCTTGAGGATGTGACGTCGGTCTATCTGCGTTAAGTACATTTCACATACAGTAGCCAAGCGAGCATTTTAAAAACCCAGAGCCACGCTTGGTGTATAGGAGTAACTGGGCCTCACTTCCGTGGATTGGCCAAAGAAAGTCCAAGCTTGCCAGTTGCGGCACAAAAATGGTTCAACCTAAAGCGACTAAACTGGGCTGCCCTCAGATCCCCTGCTAACAGTGACCAACTTTTAGTGGGTCAAGTGGAAACCCAACAACTAAACACTACAAGTCTAACAAGCTGAGGAACCGGATGGCTGGGAGCCACCAAGTAAAGTAAAGTCCGAATCGGAACTCGAGTGAGCATAGCGAGTGATCCAATTGGATCAAGCTCTGTTGGATCCCAAGAGTCCGGCGCCAATTCGAAAGCTGGGATCTCCAGCACGTGCGCATGCCTCGGATTCGCAAAGGCCGTGAAATTGTTTGGTGTACCTGGAACCTCAATCCCAAAAAAATGAGATTGCCCCAACATTATGGTGGGTGAATTTCCATTGTTATGGGTAATTACTTTGAGGGTCCAGGTACTTCCATGGGCTATGGCTCTTCAACTTGTTGGGATTCGGACCCCAAGAATAGAGGTCCTTTCAATTTCCCTTTTTCCAACAAGGGTATCCGCACACAGAGCTTACAGGACCCTCCGAAACAAAAAAAACAGGCACAGCTTTCTCAGCGTTCAGCTTTTTCCGGACTGCTTGTCAGAGGATGTCTCACAGGTTTTTTTTCATCGGGTTGGATCATTTTCGAGTGGAGTTCTTCACGGTCGGCGAGCTCCCGGCGGCTTGCAGTCAGACTCTCGGCGCTAGGCTTTGACTTCCAGGCGCTTCGCCCCTGAGCTCAGAGCCATCTGCCCCAAGGAACGCCTCGTACTAAGCTTCTGGACAGCCGTGGGCTTTGGAGTAGGAGCTGCAACAATCACACCAATGGATGTCCGGATCGCATCGGCATGTTGATAGAGCCTGGATCGCCAAGGTGCGTTTGTTTTTTCTTTTTTTCTCAGACACAAAATAGCCCCGACACACCGTCAGAGCTGTTGGGAAGAAGCGATTCGCAACGGGCGATCCAGGAGTATCTGACTTCTATTTCTCCCCCTACTCCAAATAGCCGTTTTTTCCTGGTTGTGCAGGGTGTATACCTCTCTTTTTGTCAAGAGTTGACATCCTACCCTATCGTGCCCTGCAAAAAGCAGGTATTGGGTGTAGGGAGCGTATTTAGTCTACCCCAGTAGATCCCAGTTTCCACTAAGTAGGTAAACTCTTGATTTTCCAATATGGTGTCCCCCTGGTTGCCTAGAAGCACCATAGCTAGGAAACATAATAAAATCGTTTTGCAGGAGACCCCAGTACTTGCATGCTCAACCTAAACACGTAGGTCATGACCAAGGATGTTTGCCTGGGCTTTGCCAAGGGGTTTGCCTGACCCGCGCAATGGATGGATGCGAACTCCGGCACCCCTTTGAAACCAGGAGAAACCATGCTTGTCAGTATTTACAGGGTAGGGTCCTCCAGGTGTTCTACCTACAAATCACCGGGTCTGGTTCTGAAGACATGGGCACAATCCAAAAGCAATGTGGGTATGTCCCTACTGTGGATGGTTGCGAAGTCCATTTCGCACCACTTTGGAACAATGACTAGGCCCTCCAGTAGAGAGGTTAGAATAAGGGTACCAACTTTTTCTGTGGTCTATTTTAGTGGGGGAACCCTCCCACGCAAAAAAAGAAAGGGTCAGAAAGGGCACCTAGCTGGGGGACCTAGAAAATTTACAGGGGAATCATCATCCCGTTTGGTTTCTTCGCTGGAGCGAAATATATTTCCACCTGGCCTGCCCTCAGATCCCCCGCTAAAAGTCGACAACTTTTAGTGGGTGAAATACGGAAACTACCACTAAACACTAAAGGCTAAACAGCTGAGGAACCGAATGGCTGGGAGCCACCAAGCCACGGTCAACGATCTCCTCAGAGTCACCTCTCTCTCTCCCAAGCTGAGGCACAAAAGCCAGCAGCCAAGCCAGAATTTGGGTAATCCTGCTCAGGCTACCTCGGCTCAACACGAGACCGAACGGCCCACGTGTCGGGCTTACTCCAAATACCAGGCCTATTGCAGTTGGATATCTACACAGGTATATATATATATGTATATATACATATATATGTTGCGCCTGGCTTCTTTGGTGTAACCTGCTTCTTTTGGCGCACGTGTGGCGAACAAAAAGATGTGTTTTTGGAGTCTAGGTTGCAACATCAGGAATTCTGCCATAGTAAGCACCTCCCTGTTTTAGTCATACCCTCAAACGGTGTGCATTTGGATTCGGACATTTGCAAAATGATGAGTGACAACTTTCCAATTCTGAACCAACACCCCCCTATTAATACGTCACTGGATGTCTCCTTCGAAAGTTGCAATTTGCTGGTGTCCTTTGAAGCGATCGCCACTTTTGGCGGATCCCAAAATGGAAATGGAGGAAACCCGCTGTTGAACGGACAGGGTGTGCTTAGATCCGGACATTGACTGTCCTGTCCTGAACCCAGAATGTTCAATCCCCCAAGGCAAGCAGTGGTGAAACGGTCAACTGGAAAGTGGCGACTCATTCCATTTGCTTAAGCCCCCCGGAACAAAAGATGAAAATATGTCCAGTAATCATAGCTTCCCTTAAAAGCAAAAAAGGGGGCAAGCCAGAATTCCTACATAAGAAGCCCCACACCAACCTGTCAACTTCCAGTCTTGGGGTGCCACGAAATCCAATCCGGGTTTTGAGACCAGCAACACCTGCCGGCCACTCGACTCGGGTCCCAAGCACCCAACCGCGGAGTTCGGACCGGGAACTTGGTTGGGAGTGAGAAGCAGCTGAGTCATGATCAAAACCCGGTACCTGGACCCTCAAACTACCCAAATAAAAAGGGATATCACCCCATAATTTTGGGGGTCAAACCCATTTGTAAGAGAGTTTTGAGGGTTCAGGTACTAACATGGTCTACCCAGACCCATGTAAAGGATTTAGAAGGCGGCCCCAACTATTTCTGGCTGGGACTGCCCCTTACTAACCTTCATCTACCCGGGTTTTGATTGTTGCTCAGTTGGAGGAGTGCGCCCCGCATAAATCGAAAAGTCCATCAGCATGTCAGCGGCGTTCCGTATACACGTTGCTGCCGAATTTTCGAGAACACCGCAAAGCAGTGGGTGAGTCACAATCAAATGGTCGACCGAGAACCATGCTTCAAGAATTAAGAAGCCGGATCTCCGTAGCAATTCATTTATGGCAAGGAAACTGTCCCTCAATCTTCATCTACCCGAATCGGTTTTGAGCAAGTGGCTCAGGTGTCCTGGGCACCAATTGTTTAGATTGACTGTCCTCAGTTTCCTCTCAATTGCAGGGTTCGGATCATCAGCTTCCACGTGGGGTTGGCTCCTTCTCCACTTGTTTCAACCTATTTCTGCGGCTTGCCCCTGAAAGGGACTGGACTCGGAAAGCAGGGGGCAGTTACCTCTGGATACCTGGTATGGGTCAAAATGAAACCGCCAGAAGAGCGGAAAAAAAAGCCAAGCGCAGGTTTTAGTCAACTTCTTGCCATTTGCCGATGGGAGAACCCATTTTGGGGTTGTCCAAGTTTTGCCACCACCGCCATATGTGTCCAAGCTGCAAAGGTTGCTGGAGCCCAGTGCACTGGTGTTCAAAAGCAAGAGCTTCAAATCCAAAGTCGATCCAAATCACCCAGGAGAGACCTGGACCCTTCCAGATTCCCTCAACAATTGGAATGGTTGGTGAACTCCCATTACGGGAAGTTTCAGGGTCCGGGTACCTGAACCCTCGAAATTCCAACTTAAAAATGGGTTTCACCCCCAAAATTATGGGGTGATATCCCTTTTTTATGGGAAGTTTGAGGGTCCGGGTACCTGAGTTGAAAGGGGCACGTCCCTCCAAAAAATCAACCTGGAAAGCAGCCTGGAGACCCCAGCTGTTTCAAAGGATGGCCGGAGATCGAGCTTCAATGGACCTGAACTGCTCCGAGCGAGGGAACCACCCTTTAAGCACTCAAACAAGGAAAACAGCCGGTGAGCTACGATTGCCTGGGATCCGCTGGTGCTGGCGGTGTCTTTTTTTGGACGGGGCCCCTCTTGCTTCGGAAAACCACTGCGCACCAAGCTTTTTTGGATCTCGGCAAGGTCCTCCAGTAGAGAGGTTAGAACAGGGACCCAAATTTTCTGTAGTCTATTTTAGTAGGGGAACCCTCCCCCAAAAAAGGGTCAAAAGGGCACCACTGGGGGGACCCAGTCGCAGAACAAACGCGCGGCAACTGAAGGCCATGGCCTTTCCGAGCCACGTATCTGAGGCAAGTGTAATCGTTGGACTCGGGCAACGTGGTTTCGATGCCCTCCGGCCGTATCCAAATCTCACCTCAGCAAGAGGTACGACAACTTTAAGGAGCAATCCTGTAAAAGATGGCCAAGCCAGGGTCGAACATTGGTCAATGGTTTCTAAGCCGTTCAACAGAACGAGGAGTTTTGAACCTCCTTTTGGTAGAAGATTGGTCAGGTGCTTTCGGCAGTGCTTCCTTCCATTTGCTTCAAAAGGTGTTGATCTTCCCTTATCGAAATCGATTTCGCTGCAGCAGATGTTCTCATATGTGTTTTTTTGTTTTCCGGGCCAAAAAGGCAAATTCCAAGCACTGGTCCACGAGGTCCTTTGGTTTTCCATTTCTCGATCATTTCTCCCCTGTTCATCTGGGCCTTCCGAGGTATGGTCGAAAGACCCCTTGTGGTTGCTAGGAATGGTCAACTTAATCAGCACGGCACATTTATGGGCGTGTGGTTTTTTCTTCTTTTAGTTGGAATCTTTTTAAACAAAGAGCTCCAACAATAGTGGGGAAAGGGAGCATTTTGTTCCCCTCCTAATTTTGAGACTAATCTCTGTGAGGACCAAAAAACGAAGGCTCCCCAGTTCTATTCAGAGGTGAACAATCTCCAATATGTTTGTCCTCCGACTGAGGCTTGCTAGTTCGGAAGGAACCATCCCCTGTGGCCTTCTTTAAGAGGTCCCAAATGGTTCGTGCCCACGATTTCCAACTGAGAACTAAGCGCGGATTCCCTCGTTTCAAAGACGGCACGAGGGCTATACATTTGGTCCCCGGTTTCGTAAGACTAGGGGAACAGGGCTCCCTATATCTCCCCTTAAAACATTATCCCCACAAAGGGATACTCACCTTTCATGGGCCAAAAAGGTGATGTTTAAAATAGCCAAACAGGGAAATATAGGGACCCCTGAGGAAACCAAACCCATGTGTGAAATGTCTGTTTTGGTCGGCTACATGCTCAGACTACACCCCTGGTTTGGGAACCAAGGCTTCAAATCTGAAAGCTCAAACCAAATGGCGCGAGCAAACCACGCAACCCCAAGCGATATTTTTTGTCGCTCACTAAGAAAACCATGTGAAATGCAGTTGAAAGACAACACTACAAATAATTATTTGGCTGTGGCTCAACAAACCTGTACCAAAATGAAACCCTGGTAAGTGGAAACATGGACCAAAACCTGCGTAACCCCTGCTTTTTAATTTTGAGCCATACCCATTTGTCGTTTGAGGGTCCAGGCTGTTTCATATTTATACCCTATAGAAAACAGACTCGGAGGAGATCTTTGAGGAACCAAAGGAACCAACCCGTGCAGTCTGAGCCATGCGCAACGTCCAGAGCTGTGGTACTCAATCCTTAGCGACCAACTCGCAACAAAAGGCCCAGCTGACGTCCCACCTTCCTATGAATGGCCAAACAACTCGGTTTAAAGATTCACGGACAGGATAAGGGTTCCGCTGCAGGCTTCAACGGGTGGGGAAATAAAGAATGGAACCCCTTTGGAGATGTTTCAAACCTCGGGGAAATCAATCTGGAACCCTCCCCCAAATTGACCCCTAAGCGGCCCTGAAAAAAACAGCTCACGCGTATCGAAATATTTTTGGAGCATGTGAGACAACTTCTACACGTTGATTCCCCATTCTGATCAATCCTCATTCTCTCAAAACATATGTTTTCCATTTTCTTGGCCCACTTTAAAAGAATGATCTCTGATTCGAGAATGGAATCGGAAGGTACAGCTCACACGAATCTTGGCTCATTTCAGCATGCCACTGGAGGTCCCAAACCTTCTGCAAAACCCGGCCAAACCCCCTATATGGAGAGTCCGAGACCTCATGCGAATGAGCTGTGGATCTTGCCCTGTGATACTGTGGATGGACGAAAGCCATGCCATGAGAAACCATTTTTGCTTGGTATTTACAAGGGATTCTATCATCCCAGGGTTTCTTGGGTGGTGCGAAATGGATTTCGCAACCATCCACAGTACCACAAGGCCAATGATTCTTCAATCACTTCCTGAAAGGAGTCACAGAAGTGGTTGAGAGTCCTTCCTCACTCCCATATGGTTTGGAGTTTGCGAAATGGTTGAACCTCGGCTATAAGTGTGTATTTGTCTCTCAAAAAAAAATAATGCGTTGACTAAGGGCTCATTGGTTTTATTGGGGGGTCTCTCTGCACACTTGCTCCTGGACCATCCGAAAAATAAGTTTTCCAACTCTTCGGAGTCCGAGCGTCCCCTTGCAGGATGAGGTTTGCACACACTCCGCTTTGCATTGCTCGATGCTAAGGCCGGAGACAACCGTGAAGTAGGAGCCTCAGTCGAAATTGAGCGTCACCTAAATTTTCAGAGGGAACCCGCTGAAAAGGGGTTTGATATGATCTCCGCATGTAAATGATGCCCACCAAAGGATCCTCAATTAGCACTCAGAAAGCTGCTGCTCGCAAAACGCTGAACCCACAAAAAGAGTGGTGAGAAGGGACGCTGCTCATTTGACCTTCCGTCTTCCATTTGGCTCAGGCAGCTTTTCTTGACGTATGCAAAGGACCTAGAGGCGTTCACAGCCCAAAAGACTCATGAACGGATGAGCAAGATCTGTCACTCAGTGGTGCTTTGGCTTGGATGCAACAAATGCCCTCCCCAAAGATGCGGTTTCCAAAGGCGCCGGGGTTCAAATCCCAAAGTAATCCGCCAATCCAAAAATACAACCAAATAATAACTACTTGCCCAAAAAAACCTTGAAAGGACTCAGTTAAATCGAACCGGGCAAACAAGATACGAAGAGCCTGGATCGGAATCCGTTTCGCTACCTTTTTGGAGCCCAACCTGCCTTGTGCTGGGGAGGTTCCTTTGGGTTATGGCAGCTATACAGCTAAATGGAACCGAGCAGAACACCAAAGGGTTGCCAACCCAAACTCCGCCTCCCTCTATGTGGTTTGGACTGGCGGCTTGGAGGGGATGGTTTCCATTGACCCTCTACGAGAATTAGGACATGGTTCAAATGGTTCAAATCCCAAACCAATCCAAACAAGCACATGGAAATGGATGAATATTCCGTGAAAGGCCCCCAATGAGTCCAAGGGACACTTCTCCCTTGGTTAAAATATCATCTATCTTGTTCTCGTGGTTGGCCATAACGGACCAAGGGTATTTTTTCCAATTTCGTGCTTCAAATGTGATCTTTGTTCCCGTGGTTTTCCAACTTGTGGTCATCCCATGATCGGACCTGCTGATCACCCCCCTTCCATTTGCTTTTTCGCCCCTGGAAAAAAAGAGAAGATATGTCCAGTAGTGAAACCAATTCCCTTTAAGACCAACAAGGGAAAAATCAAAATCTTCATTTCAGCAAATGGAAGAAAGCACGGTCGCCATCCCCCAAAGGTCAGCTTCCCTCGGTTTTCTTAAGCAAATGTAGGCAAATGGAAGCAAATGGAAGCCCCACTAGGCCGAGAGGCTCAAATTGTCCGTGGCACTGCCGCCCCGGCAGGCCTCTGGCAGCCCCCTCTCAGCCCTCGCTCTACCGCTCTCCCCCGGTGCGTTGCTTGAAGTGCGATGCTGTGCTCAAGCGCAGGTTTCTGACATATATGAAGCCATACCCAGAGGGTCCCTTGATACCTTAGGAGGTACTGAACGACCCGTTACCCCCCCAAAGCCGACTCATGAGGTACCAAGGGACCCTCTGGGATACAAGGGCTCTTCAAGGAATCCTCAAATTATCCGGGTTGGAGGTCAACTCCATTCCCATGTGCGGTTTAGCCTTGGGTGTTCGCTGAGATAGTGGTTCTCGCAACTTACGAACGACTAGGGCTCAGAAGGAGACCCTCAAGTAGCTCCGAAAACCCGGGAGTCGCGTTGCTCGAGCGCGCGCGCGCGGACAACAAAAAAAACGCACACACACACACACACACCAAAAAAAACAACGAAAAACGCGCGCCTGATTGCTGCCATCTCCAGACACAGGCTGGAACAGCGCAGGGTCCACCGTGGAGGTGGTGGTGGGCGGTGGCAGGTTCGGCGCGTAGACCAGGCAGGTGTAGCCTCCCGGCCACGAAGCTCCGATTCTCATCCGACCCAGAGGGTATCTTGGTACCTTTTAAGGAGCTACTGAACGACCCCTCAAGTTTTTACCCACCAAAAACCGACTCCTCATGAAGTACTTGGGTTTTCTGGGCGGTTCTTGGAGCAAAACATATTTATTTTGCAGCCCAAGGAGGTACCCTCCCACTCTTTTTTTTACATGGCACCTGAAGGAGGGGTGTCCTGCAAAAACACAATTTTCGCCCCTGTCAGGCTCCATGTTATTTGGTGGGAGGGTAACTGCATAAACTCGGTTGCGTTCTGCTCCCCTGCTAAAAGTTTAACTTTTAGTGGTTTAGTGGAAACCCATTGGTTGGCAACAAGTTAAAGTCCTAACATCCCTTGGCAAGATGCACCAAATTAAATACTGAGTAACTCTCTTCCCATGGCTCCCCATGTCTTTTGAATCAGAGTCTGATAGAGTCTGGCTCCGAGGTACCTGGACTACTCATGCTATGCTTGGATTCCGCGGTCCTTCCAGGGAGGCTTACTGCTACCCTACGCGATGATTCCATTTACCTGTATACATGCACGTACAGGCAAACAAAGGAACCAAGCTTCAAACGCAAAAAGGGTCCATTGTTGGTTACCTGTGGCGAAATGCCTGGGATCCGGGCGTTTTGCATCAGGGACCCTCAATGGACCGACCTCTGGAAGGTGGCGGATCCCCAAAAGGCCCCCGTTTTGAGGTAGCCTATGCAGGGACAAAGGGCTAAGACACGGCGGACCGTGTGTCGCTTTTGGCTTGTTATTCCATTCGAGGGTATATCAGGACGACCTTCAACTCAAACATCCGGGAAGCAAACAGGACCCATAGGCATTAGGGGGAAATCGGCTTTCGGGACTCCGGACCATAACTCACCTGCCTGGAAATTAACGATTACCCTTTTGGAACCTTGCTAAAATTGGACGGCCAAAAGGTCAAGTCGGTTGTGAACCACTGACCCAGTGGATCTGTAAAGCAGTTCACCATGGGAACCAGCCATTTATGCAGGCAGTTTAGGGATTCCTGAACATTGTGCCCCAGTGGGTCCATTGGCCTGGTAAGGGCAGGTAACCAAGGGGACCACCCAATAGAAAAGCCAAGAGGAAAATCGCTGGTTACCTACTTTAAGGGCAACTGGGATCCAAGTGAAACACAGGATCAGCTTTGCCCAAATGCATCGAGCCGCCCTCGGCTTCGGCGGTACTTTCAACTCCTTCTGCTCGGATCCTTCGCTCGAATTCAAATTCGGACTCGACACAGGGATGCCTTGGATGTTCGATTCGCCAAGTTCGCAAGTTATAAGTTATAACCTAACCTGGATCTTCCAACTGCACTTCTTTTTTCCTGCTCGGAAACAAATCCGTCCGTTTTTGTGAAAACCATGCCATGCCGTGTGCTCAAAAAGTGATCGCTTTCATCAATACTGAAAGGAAGAGGGACAGCTAAAAAGTACGCTTCTTGAAATTGCGCCCGTTTGCGCGAAATTGCGTCCTTGTGCGGAGAATTGTGCCCGTTGTGCAGCCTAATTGTCTGGTCGCAATTTTGCTGTTTCACACCTTTGTGCAGGTTCCTCAAAAATGGCAGTTTTGCTGAAAAGCATCCGTTTGGGGGGTGGGAACAAAGAAAGGAATGCTCACTTCCCGAGCAAGTGGCCCCCCAAAAAGTCCGAACCTTTTATTTACCGCTAAAATAGGCGTCCCAAAAAGCTCAAAGACCAGGAACTCGGGGAGCAAAATATTCACCTTAGGGGGACTTCTAAGTGGGTTCTACCCTACGTTGCCGTTACCACTTACTAACTTGGCCATTCGACCCAAGCAGAATTTGCCTAGCGGCATCCTTCTCTGCAGTTCTGTGAGGTTTAACGGTGCTTCCATTGCCCCTTCCGGGAACCAAGGCAACCCTCCTCAAAAACAAAAAAAGAAGCAACAAGGCCATCACCAAGCGTTGCACATAGTGGAAATTGGGAAGTTCTGAAGTTGGGTTTACCTGGGCCTCGAACTCCCAAAAAACCCGGAAATCGCCACTGGGGAAGTTGCCTGGAATCCAAGGGGCATTTGGTATCCAGGGCATTGTCACAAGAAGTCTCCGAAGCCGCTTTTTGCATGGCCTTTGAGCCGAGCTGGGGGGGGGGGAAGGAGTTCGATGATCTCAGGATCTCTACACTTCTTGTTGGGTCGACTCCGCTCAGAATTCCGCTTGAAAACCAACTGGGGAAAAAGTCATATAACTTTCTTTCGCCCTGTTGCTTCCAAAAATAATCTATGACTACTGGGCGTGTTTGTGATTGTTTTTTTTTTTTTTTTTTGCTTGTTTGCTTGCTTTTAACAAACAACAACAACAATCAACATGTCAGCCACTGCAAAAAAAGCAATACATTGATGTGTTGCTTGCTTTTGACAAATGTTTTACAAAAACAACAACCACCAGCACCCCCCAATGGCTGGCCAATTGCCGGCACAAACAGCATTCAGACACTGGACAAAAACCCGCTGAGGCCGTGTCCAGACTTCGCATCTTGCGGCCACAGAGTGGTACTCGATGCCTCGGCAGTCCTCTGCCACCGCCAGGCACTCCGCCTGCGATGGATCGGATCTGACAGCCCAGTCATGTGCAACCTACTTCGTAAGTAGGTCATAACCAAGGATGTTCTGAGCTTTGCCAGCGGATAGTTGGCTTGCCGTGATTACAACCTGACCCGACGTATGGATGGACGAAATCCGTTCGCACCACTTGGAAAGCATGAGAAACCGTGTTTGTCGGTATTTACAGGCTAGGTTATCCAGTAGAGAGGCTAGGTTATTCCGGGCCTCCAAGCCAACTCAAAACCCCGGAATTGGAGCAGTCAAGACCTCCTTTCCCTCGGGCAAACAGATTTCCCCTCGCGCGATCCAGCCGTTGAGATGCCGCATCGAGTTCCATGTCCCTCCGAAATGAACCCTCTGACGCGGTCGGAAAAAGGGGACCACCTCGAGCATCAAGCACCATCTGGGTGTGGCTCCAAATTCAAGAGCCAGGCTTACGCAAGTCTTGGTCTTTACCACTTTTTTGAGCCACAGCCATCTGAAACTTCGGGACCTCAAGGCCACCAGCCCCCCTACTGTGGATGGACGAAATCCTGCACCACCTAAGAAACCCTGGAATGATAGATCCCCTTGTAAATACCGAACAAAACATGGCTTCTCATGGTTTCAAAGCGGTGCAGGATTTCGTCCATCCACAGTATTAATCCGGGGTTAACATTACAGGTACATGGAACATCTCTCTGCGCCATTTTCGCATCCCACTGCATCTCGCCTTGCACTCCTCGAGCGAAGGGATGCTTTGCCTCAGGAGGTAGTACTCCGCCAGATTGTCCCCTCGCGCACACGCCGACTTTCCGACGTTTGGAGGTGAATTCGCGGCCAGCCTGCCATTTACCCTCAACAAGAGCCAAGGATTCAAATCCCCAAACCATCAACCCATGGGGGGGGGGGGGGGAAACCACACACTTTTGCGCCTCCCCCCCCTCCATGTTACTCCCTTGCAACTTTAACATGGAACCAAAAGTAATGTGCTGCTGATGTCCCTATGACGACTTGCACATCAACTACCTTATCTCTGTTGCTATTGGTCATGGTTTATATCTAGTGGACCTTATGTAAAATAAGACCAAATGAGATCGGATGCTCTTGGTACCGCTGAATCAGGCAGACCCCGTTTCAAAAAGAGCTGGCCCCATTCTTCTACCGCTAAGTCACCCCCAGAGTAGTAGTCTGGGAAACCGCCAACCAGTTTCTGACTTGGACAACCCCCAGCCGCAGTCAAAATCATGAACCCAGAATTTTCAGCGCTTTGACTGGAACACCTGGGTTTGTGCTTGTACTTGAAACCCTCCGAACTGGAATAAAATTCAGGGGTTGATTCCCCATTCTTTTGAATCCTCGTTCTTTTCAAAAACCGGCCCTAGGAATTTGAGAGTCCTTTCCCCTACACCAAATCACCAAACAGGGCACCCTCAAAGACACAACCTGAATCCCGGTGAAAGCCACATGTCAAAAGGCCTCCTCTAAAAATGCTGTCCGCTACCGCAAAAAGAAACACCCCGAGTTGAACATGTGGTCTACCCCGTTGTATAGATGTGATGTGCGTGCTTGCCTCAAAATGGTGTTCAGCCCGAAAATTGGCGTCAGTGTCCGTCTAGATTCCCTTGAAACCAACCCAAACCAGGCGCAGGGAGCCTCAAGCATCCAACAATACCCCCTGATTGACCTGAAACCCCAGAAGCCATCTGCTTGTAAACTAGGTCCTCCAGATTTGAGAGGTTAGAATACGGGTTCCTTTTTTTCAATTTTAGTAGGGAAACCCTCCCCCAACAAAGGGTAAAAGGGCACTACTGGGGCACCTAGTAAACATATCCTACAAGGAACCCGTTTGGAAAAACTGTTAATTGCAGGGCAGCACACATTGCTGTGGATGGACACCCATTCACACCAGTTGCTACCCTTTCGCTCATAGGTCCTTGTAAGGGTCCGACTGACACCGTGCCCTCAAGCATCTTCATTTTGGAGGCTGGTGATCGGGAGCCTGAAAAATGGTCCTACTCACAAGGTTCCATCCCTGGTAGGACCGCTGACTTGGCGGATTTCTTTTTGTTGGCTCGAAAGCGGGCGGGAAGTACCGGCATATTCTTTGGGGATGAGCCGTTTTGGCATTCCATGAACTAGGTCCTCATGCAGAGAGGTTAGAATAAGTTGGTACCAACTTGTTTTTTCTTTCTGTTTTTAGTAGGGGAACCCTCGTCAAAGGGCACTGGGGGACCTAGTTAATTTCCATGTGCTCAAGCCCCCTGAGAAACAACAAATGAAACATTTTTAGTAGTGCTAGACTCCAGTTAAAATCAAAATAGCACATAGTATCCCCAGTAAAATAGACGAAAATGGGTGGCGCACCTACCCCAAGATGGCACCATTGGAGCCATAGTCTCAAGCACATGGGAGAGGAACAAGTGAGCTTGGACCTCATAGCAGCAGCCCGTGCCCAGCTCCTGCCTGGTCCGCTCCCGCGGCAGACTTGCCCAGTTCCGTCACCAGCAAGGGCTCGAAACAGGGCCTGCCGGGTGGCGGAAATGGCTGGGTCTTCTTTTGGAGTTGCTGCCCGACTTTATTTTTCGGTAGTCTAGTTTAGTAGGGGAACCCTCCCAACCCAAAAAAGGCAACAAGCCAGGGTACCAACTTTTTCTGTAGTCTATTTTAGTAGGGTCCCGAACCCTCCCAAGCCGAAAAAGAAAAGGTAAAAGGGCACTGGACCTAGTTGGAGTTACCGGTTTGAGGAAAGCAGAGCCACTTCGGGGGGGCCGATTCCTGGAAAAAAAACACACAAATGCCAACCGGGTCTTGCACGAACCCGAGAGAGACCCACCCCCCCAAAAACGGGATATGGCCGTTTGAGGGTGAGCCAGCTGGGTCCATGAAGAAACCTGCAGGACAAGCGGGTCAAATCCCCGAACATGTCCTGGACCCCAAGAGATCACCTGAATGCAATTCCAAAACTGGGGCGTTCCGTGGCTGTGGATTTCAGACTTGCAGATGATGCGGAAACCCAAGGACAAAACAGCTGACGTCACCCAAGCCTGGTGACCCTGAAAGCATCACACAAGCCATACCTCTATTCACAGAGTTTGGTTTCAGCGAGTCCTCGGGTTTCTGCGGGGAGTGTCCCATGTACCTGTCGGAGGCCATGGTCACTCTCTTGGTCCAAAAACATGGCTTCCTTAGTATATACCTAGACCCCTGAAAAGCTGGCTTTGCTCCAAGTACCCAAACAAAAAGACTTGGTTGACGTTGGAAGAGCAACAGTTCTCAAATGTCAGCAGTTAAGTGGAGATTTCAACCACTAAACCACAATAAGAGAAAATGTAAAAGGTTTCCCAACAACAACCATGTAGAGATCCTCAAAAATAAAAACAGAACACAAACACACAGAGACACACACACACACAAACACACCCACACTTACACCCAGACCCAAACACCGACCCGCACCACACACACAAACACACACCAGCACCAACACCCAACGCACATCACCCAACACAGACAACCCACAGCAAACGACATGCCACACACCGCGCACACCGCACACACCGCACACACCGCACACTACCCATCGCACATGGCAACACACAACGCGCAACGTCAACACGCAACACACACACACACACACACCACACGACACACAACACACACACACACACAACGCACACACACACACACACCACCACACAACACACATTCCACAAATGGCAAAGGGTTGTGACCATTACCCATGCAAAGTCTTGAGGGGAGGAATGTTCGGCCGAGTCGCCGGATCTATTGGAGTGGTCGTCGAAGCCTCACCAACGATAAGCGTCGCCTTGTTTTTTTTTGACGGCATAAAGTAAAAAATGATGATCGCTTATGTGAAACCTTCTCAAAATTCGGAACCCATCGAGGTGGTTGGGCTCCTTTGGGTTTGCCTCCAAAAACAAAAAGGGCCGCATCTTGAGAAGCCTGCAAATAACTCGTGAGAGGTTCTCATTCTGGCGTGCCTTTAGGTTACCAAGGCAAAGGACACCTCCTGATTCCATGGACCTCTACAGCCTATAGCAGGCAACCAAAGGAACCACCCAGTAAAAAATAACAAGTTGGGAACCACTCCAGGGGACCGGTTCCTGTCAGATAGTGCAACTCCTAGTGACATTGACCCAACCCTGCAGATCACAATATATATATATATACATATATACCCCCTACCATCAGGGGGGGGGGTCGGGTTCCCCAATTCCATGTTCTGGCAAAGTATTCTCCATAAAGGCAAAATGGGTTATCACATTTGTTTTGAGGGGTCACCCCCCTCCCCCAATTTCGTTGCTCAGGGGGTGGGGATATTTATATGTCTTGCTACTGCCCTAAAGGTCGAATCGACCGGAGCTTGGCTGTTGCACGTGGGGGAACTCCCGGGCCCAGCGGCCCAACCACACGCCGAGTTGCTCAAAAAAAAAGGGTGTCGGTATGGACCTATTCTGAGTTGCCCAAAATTCCAGCAAGACCCTAACTTGGGGTAGTTCATATTGGGCCCACCCCATTTGTTTGCCTCTTTTTTTTCCGGGGCTCTAGAAGAATCACAGCTTCGAATCCAAATCCAAACCATCAATTCAGGGTCGCCTGGTTCTTCAAGATGACCCCAGTTGGATCTTCAACCTAGTTGGTAAGTAGGTTAAACCAGGGTTACTTGCCTGGAACAACTGCTTACCATTTGGTATAACCTACCATTGGCCGAACATCCAAGTATGTGAAAAACACATCATTCTTTCACCCCCGAATTACCTTCCCCAGACCCTACTCTTTCAGCTCTTTTGGGGTCAAAGACCAGCCTCATATTTGCCGGTGTGACTCAGATGCCCAGTGGCCATGGGAAACAAAACCGGAATCGCCGCCCTTTTTTTGGGTTAGTCAAGAGGAATCGGCAGCACTGGGCAGAGATTGATCCAACCCCTGGGAGCCCAGGATATGTGAAGGGTCTCGGGGCTATGACCAAAACAAGTTGTCGGGAAAAAAAAAGAGAAAAACAAGCCACTGGTTGCAACATGTTTACCGGCCTTGAGTCTTGAGGCCGAGTCGCGGCCCCATATCTGAGACAAATGTATCCCTCCTTCGCCACGGTCACTTCGATGCCTTCTGCTCGCGTCCAAACCTCACACCGGCCGTGTCCTGCGCGCTCAAAAATTGGGCGAGCTATGGCGAGCTCGTTCCCTTCCAGGGGTTGAGTCCAAGTACATTCTGTCATCGTTCTTTTCAAAAACCTGCCGTTTTCCCTGGGTTTCTGGAGGTTTGCTGGAAAGAAGGATCCTGGAAAGAATGGGGAAGGTAGCCCTAGATCCCTACATTTCCCCCAAAAGCAGCCGATCTTAGAGAAACTCACCTGTGGGAAGCCCAAAAAGATCCAACACAAGTCATGAGTTTACAACCACCACAAGATTTTGCTGCTTTGGTTGGCACATCCCTTTTTTGGGACGGTGTGTTTAAGGAAAGCCAAGAGGACAACCGCCGCCTGCGGCCTTTTGGGGGGTCTGATGCCTAGAAACGAGAGACGCACCCAACTGTTCGACGGGAGGTGGGGAGGTCGATTTCGATAGGAGCAACTCCTTCTCTGTTTTTTGGAGAGTCCCCTATCCGTTCCCATGCCTTGGTGCATTTCCACAACTTGAATCAAACACCCCGAATACTAGACTCAACAGGAGTAACTTTGACGGTACTTCATATGGGTTTGAGGAGTGGACACCTGAGGGGACCGATTCCAATTCTGATAAACAGATGCTTTTACGGCTGACACGAGGGGATACAAGGGGTACAGATCGCCCAGCGATCTGTACCTCCATTCCTTCACTGTACACTCTAGCCTACTCCATGTCCTCATAGAATTCGGTCGCAAGCCTGCGTCAGGTTAGAAAGGCCGAATTGCACCTGGAAATAGAAGCTTTACCTCTCGGGGTGACGAAATATGGAACAAAAACGGAAAAAAAAAAAAAAAAAAAAAAAAAAAAAAAAAAAAAAAAAAAAAAACGAAAGGTCCAAAGGTCGGCTGAGTAACACCAAAGGGCAACCAAGTTCAGTGACGGGCCACGTGACCCCGTGACACTGGGCCCCTGATTCTTTCTGCTAGGCGTGGCGACTATGACAACATAAAATCTGGGCTGGGGAAAAGCAATCAAATTCACCGACCAAATCTGTGGATGCCTGAACCCTCAAAATTCCTTTAAAAATTGGATTGACCCCCAAAATTATGGGGTGATATCCCATTGTTATGTGTAGTTTGAGGGTCCAGGTGGACAAAAATCCATTTCGCACCACCTAAGAAACCGTGGAATGATGAGTCTCCTGTAACATAGACGATGGCTTGCCGTGGTTTCAAAGCGCAGGGTTTTGTTCATCCACGAAATGAAGGAATGGGTCACGTCGCAAACACCCCTAGTGATGTGAAAATTCCCCCTACTCCAAATACCCGCTTTGTTCAGGGCATTTTTAGGAACACCTGGGTTTCCACGGTAAAGACCTCGATGTTTAGTAAAGGGTCGACATCATACCCTGAAAAAAGAGGGTATTTGGAGTAGAGGGTTTGTTCAGCATCATGAGCCCGCTACAAACGCCCACCGCGGGGTCACTCAACCGACGGCTCCGGGTCCGAAATGATATTCGAGGCCAACACAGTCTGCAGCGCTCGCGCAGAGCAGCTTGCAGTCATCCAGAGTTTCCACCTCCAGGTGGACAGTGAAATACCTGGGCAAAAATCGGGCGACCTGTTCGACTGTTCGACCCCCAACCTGATTTGTTGGGCCACAAACCAAAAAGGCAAGATGGAAGTCGAAAGCTGGTTTGGGGGTTGAAACGCCAAGTCCAACAATACTGCGCACGGATCACATCCAATTCGCATCAGTTGGCATCGGTGGTTTATCCATTCGATCTATGTTCTCCCGTCATGACCCCAAATGAATAAATCCTGCTTGATTTTGATCGGGGGGTCCCCTTTTACTGCTTGGATTCAGGAACAAACCCCTCCCCGCCAAAAGTGGGAAAGGTGACTAATAAATCCCGCGGATCCCAGTTACCACTCCAGGTAACCCCTCCCATGGTTTGGGTTCTTGTTGGTTGCCTGCCTGGATCCCTTGATTCACTGGGAATCCGCGGTCAACTTACGGGCGTCATCCATCAGGAACACCTGGCAATGGGAGCTGGGCATCCAAAACGCGGGTGAAAACAAAGAGGTGAAGCACACTCGTACCAAATCTCGGTTACGACCCCCTCTGAAATACTGAAATTCCGACCCCAAACACACCCGAACCCATCAAGAAACCTAATCCCCTATACCCATGTTGTTTTAATAAAATAACATATGATCCACCAATAAACCCATGAGTGCAACACGCCGTTGACAAACCTAAGCAGCTTCGCCACCGAGGCATATCCAAAGAGCAGCTGATAGCCATACAAGGGCTGTCCGTTTTCAGTGCCCAGAGGCTCCAATTCGATTGATGGGCCTTCAAACAACCTGGTTTTGAGACCGGGTCCCAACCACCGGTTCGCGGGGTGTCTAATGGAGAGGTCGGGTCTTCCATTGTATTTTCCAGGAGCCTTGGAAACTGCCACGAAGCACTAAAAGGCTGAAAAGCTAAGGAACCAGATGGCTAGCCACCAAGAATTTACCTTAGCCCCATTTCGCGATTCGCCCAATCCAAAGTTTGCCACGAGTGTCAGTGTGTCGCATCTTTCTTTGAGAGATGCTTCTCTTGTACCACCCGTACATAGTCTATTCCGTGAACCCCCGTTAACCCTAAAGAAGCTTTCTATATTTCTCACCAAGGTCATTGTGGGATCCAGCGAAGGTACCCCCGGAAGCAAACGAGGCACGCTTTTGTCAACAGCGAAAGGGCCAAAGGCCGCGTCCAGAAGTGTTGAAGGGCAACCCAAGGAACAACACCCACGAAAAAGTAAAACAAACAAAGGGAAAAACAAGTCGAGACGAAAGTTGCATTGGCCCCATTTACTCCTCCTTTGCACAACCGAAGCTCTAAACAATTGACAACTCTAGCAAAGGGAAACTCCATCAATTTGGTCCCAATTAGCTAATGTTTAAACCACCCAACAAGCAATGTATTCGTGTCCACCCGGGTGAATGTAGATGTGCCCGTTATATAGGCAAAGTGTAAACATGACTAAACCCAAAATAGATCTGAGTTGAATTCGCCATCTACTCTTGGTTGACGTTGGCAGGGGAGCAACAAATCGGGAAAAAAAAAAGAAGAAGAAGAAAAACACGCAGTTAAGTGGGGATGTCAACCACTAAACCACAATCAGTTCAGTAGCTCCTTGAAAGGTAGGTACCTGGACCCTCAAACTACTCATAAAATTTAAATATCACCCCATAATTTTGGGGGTCAACCCCATTTTTATGGGAATTTTGAGGGTTCAGGTACTTGGACCCTCTGGGTAACGCATTAGGCTGTCTGATCCAGCTCCATCGAGAAAAATCGCTCTTGTCGGGGCGCGAGTAGAGGTTGTCGGCGGTGCTGGCTCCGCGACAGACTTGGTCAAAGCCATCCCCATCGACAGCTGTGAAGTCACCGGGACCAGGGCTTGTGCTCGTTGCGTCTCCGTGACCATCTGCAGTCGTAGAGGAGGCGGTAGTGGCAGTGGTAGTGGCAGGGGTAGTGGCAGTGGTAGTAGTGGTGGTGGTCGTGGTAGTGGTGGTAGTCGTTGTGGCTGTTGTAGTGGTGGTGGTGGTGGTGGTGGTGGTGGTGGTGGTGGTGGTGGTGGTAGTGGTGGTGGTGGTGGTGCTGGTGGTGGTGGTGGAGGTGGTGGTGGTGGCGGTTGTAGTGGTGGTGGTGGTGGTCGCAACGGTGGTGGAGCCACTCGCATTCTTCAACTTGCATCCATAAACGTCCAAGATTTGGCGAATGTCGCCTGCAAGGGCAAACATGAGCTGTTCGGTGACCCTGGGAAATCGAATCTTCTAGGTCCCCCAGTAGTGCCATTTGACCCTTTCTTGGGGGAGGGTTCCCCTACTAAAATAGACTATAGAAAAAAGGTACCCTTATTCTAACCTCTCTACCGGAGGACCTAGACGACGTGGGGGGTCCTTTAGGTTGACCACTAATGCCCAACAAAAAGGTCCAAACGGTGAAATCCACTCGGAACACATGAGATACCCAGACGCTTGTGGCCACAAAGCATGAACACATGGAGATGCAAAAAAGTTGTCCAACCTTCAATTGCTCCGATCGATCGGTCAACTCGCTTTGGGAAGTGAGTCTTCGGGTTGAAAGGGAATTCGCCCCAATCAAAAGCTGAAAGGGCAGGCAACTGGCTTCGGCTTTCAATGGAACACCTGGCCCCAGTAGACACCCCGGCCCTAAATCAATCGGGAGCCGCCATGGGTTGTGCCAAAAGCTCTGCCCTGACGGAAAAAAAATAAGAAGGCGCCTTCGGAGAGATAGCTCCGCTGACCAACCAGAGACTCTTCAGACGAAGGAATAGTGTCAAAAGCCGTACCTCCGCCGTAGTGCATAATACCTGAGCCGAACAAAACGTGAGTGGCAACTTCCATTTGCTTTTCCGCCCCTTGGAGAAAAAAAAAACGGTTTCCAGTAGTGAAATCGATTCCCTTTAAAACCAGCAAGGGACAACAAAGCATGTTCGCTTCAGCAAATGGATGGTAAACAAAAAAAACGTGGCTAAACAAGTGCTGCCACCTGGGGCCTCCAACTACCGTCAACAAAAAACCTGGGTTTAGTGGTGGAATCAGCCAACTTTTGGAGGGGCCCAGACCACCGCCCTATGAACTGTTTGGTTGAGTAGTATGGGGTCAACATTCAGGAACTTATCCATGGTTTTTACTCCCCAGCTCAGAGCCGGGTTTAACACGCTCCCGGCTTTTAGGCTCCGGAAGGATCATTCTTGAGGTGAGATTCTTCGTACACCTGTGGATGGTGGTCAAAGAGGTGCAAATGTCCATCCACAGCAGTAAACCCTGAAAGATCCCTTGGGTTCAACCAACGTCAGGTCAGTAGGTTAAAACTCGGGGGGACGATCACCCCAGTGTCCCCAGTAACCATGATCGCAACCTACTTTCCTCTTTTGCTTTCTGCTCCCCTGCTAAAAGTTTAACTGTTAGTGGTTTAATGAAAAGCCCATTCGTGGCAAGAAGCTAAAGTCCTAACATCCAAGCAAAAAGCACACTGGGGTGTAGATCTTACTTCCAGATGGAGATGCAGGCCCACATGTCTGCTGGATCGTCGTGTGGTGGGAGCAGTGGGCACGCAAGGTGCCTTGAGTGCAGCGAACATCCTGCAATACATTTCTGTAAATTTGCAGCGTTGTACGAAAGCGGGCATCGGTCTGGTTTGCCTTGCCGTGGACTCATCGCAGCCTCTGCGCGCTCTTCTTTGCCTACATCAAGAGGAGGCTACATTTAGCTACGTTGCGCGCGTGCCAGTTCCTTTGCGCCCTTCCCTCACATGCTGGGGCGAAGGGTGGTCAGGTAAGCGGTGCCAAGCAAGAGCATTTGGTCTGTGGAGAATTTGGAACTGCTCACTTTGAACACGTGTGGGCTCTGTGTGTTCCTGGAGCTTGTAGGTGATATGAAGCGCAGGTGCACGTTTTCTTGGATCAAGGGGCTGCTTTCTCCCCGTGGCGCTTGTGCGACAGCACCGTGGTTGCCCCAGCGCCGGGCCGCCAGTTTTTGCTTGAGCCAGTGGGCATGGCCGAGATCATGCGCTATAGGGTTGTGCAGTCTGGTGTTAGTCACTGGGTTACCGGCATTCATGGCATCTGGTGCGTTTGCGGCATCCCAACATCCCAACCGCGCGAGGCGGTTGGTACCTCAGCAGAGCGCTAAGCGCTCGTGGTTCACCTTGCGGCGCCCCAACCACGCAATGTGGTTGGTACTCTGTTCTTGGCCATCCTTGTGTAAGTTATAGACCAGTGTGGAGGGCGCGTTCCGCCGAGAGGCCGATCGCGCGCGACATGTCGGAAAAGTCCGGAAAATGTTGCTTCCTTTCCGCTTTCCTTTGAATACCAAAAAGGGGATCCGAGATCGACTTTGAGACACGCCATAGGGAATTCGAAACTGCTCAACCTGGCCTAATGTTGACCCCACTGTGGATGGACAAAATCCTGCACCACTTTGATACCATGGGAAACCATTATTTGCTGGTATTTGCAGGGGGATGATCATTCCAGGGTCTCTTGGGTGGTGCAGGATTTCATCCATCCACAGTATTAGCCAACCAACCAGTCTATTCATAGGGGGTATCAACCTCGGTGAAATGTGGCTAGAATCAGACCACTTTTGGAGGGGCCCCCACCCCCATTTGACGGGATCAACATACCTGAACTGCTTCCCCCGATTTGCGTCTAGCCCAATTCGGTCCCCGATTCAAGAAGAGGCCTCCACAACTTGCTTGAAGAGGGCAAATGGGAAACCACCCTGAACCACCAAACCAAGATGGAAAGCTGAAGCAGCCGATCAAACATGGTTTGCTTTCTTCCCCATAAAACCAGCAGGTGTTTCTCAAAATTCCCTTAAAAAATGGGTTTGACCCCCAAAATTATGGGATGATATCCCATTTTTATGGGCAGTTTGAGGGTCCAGGCAGGTGTTTCTCAAAAGTCGGCACTCGACCCTCCAAGTTCGAGCTTAAACATGGGGCGACCGCCCTGGGAGTTTGAGACGAACACCCATTTCTCTTTGTGGGTAAGGGTCCAGCTATGTTTTTGTGTTTTTGTTTTCCTCTTTTTTCTTTTCGGGGGGGTTCCCGTTCTGGTGGTGGTCCTTTTGGTGTTTTATCTTTAAACCAGCAGAAAAGGGGCACAGGAACTTGAAAAAAAACGACCGAGCCACCAAAAAACTCGGTTTGCAGCCCCGGCGCTTTCAAAATCATAGTCTGCATAGCCCACCTGTCCGGTGCATCGTCATGGAACTCATCTCCCTGAGTTCCGTTTCGGACTTTACTTTTCAGTTTTGACCAGTTTAGAAGCAAAAAACATCAGACTTTTGTTGGCCAATCCACTCAAGAGGTAGAGGATGTCACTCTGCCGGACCCAGATGTATCAATTGGACTGCGTGATCTAAAACTCACTTGCGATCAGTGGGTCGGCCAAAAACGGTAACCACACCTTACTGGTCTTCCCAAAATCTACTCACTTGCGATCGAGCGGATTGGCGAAGGGGTCATGGAGACTCTAGGTGTGTCTTTAGTAGGTATCCAGCCATTTGCTTTTAACTTTTAAAGGGTGGTTCCTTGGTTACCTACTATACAGGGAAATGGAATTAAGGATTCCCTTCAAAACACCAACCAGAAACAACAACGAATATTCCCCCCGGAGATGTTTTTTATGGATTCCAACAACCACTGGTCGAGGAAGCTCCTTTGACCCCGCTTTTGGGTGTCATGTTAATTTGTAGGGATCCTTGGTCTTCAAGAACCCGCACAAATTGGTTCCTTTTTTTTGTTGCTCTTGGTTGAAGAAAGAGAATCAGCCGAAGGCGACTGCTTTTCAGAGTCCTGGAAGATCATGGGATGTACGTAGACCCTCCAAATTCCAACTTACAAACCGGCTATTGCGACCCAAAATGTTGCTTCCCTTTTTCCAATAGGATGTACTGTTGACCCAGGATTAATCAACCCGTCCCATTATAGGGGGGTGTTCCATCCAAAAGTGGTCGGAGTACTTGGAAGATCACTCATGGTGAGACTCCACCACCAACCAAAAAAAGGGTTCCCTTGCCTTGGGAAACTACACCAAGCTAAACATAGACGGCCTATTTCCTTGATGCCCATGGGTAAGGATGATAAACCCCTCTCAATGGGTAAGGAGGGTTCACCATCTCTCTCTCTCTCTCGAACGCGGGATATTTTCAGGAGCCGTCGCCTGGGCGTCGCCCTCACCGTCATCTTTGGATCCGGTGTACGTGCGCGCATCCGGGGAGTACTGCGACTTCCAGTCGCTGGCGATGTTCTCCTCGGATCACCCGCGGCGAGCGCCGCGCGGCGAGCACTGACCGTGGAGGGACCCGACACTTGCGATCGGTGCGAGAGATGTCTAGGTCCTCCAGATTTGAGAGGTTAGAATAAGTGTACCAACGTTCTTCTGTAGACTATTTTAGTAGGGGAACCTTCCCCCAAAAAAAGGGTAACAGGGCACCTGGCTGGGGGACCTAGGCAAAATATTCCACTAGCTTCTCCCTACATGTAATATCCACTTCTTCAGGGTATGATGTCAACCTACTTACCCATGCAAAACCTGGTTTGTCAAACACTACCCTAAATAAAGAGGGTATTAGGAGTAGGGGGTTGAACTTGACAATTTCTGCTTGCCTGCCATGAACATCTCATGACGCGCCAAAAGTCGGACAAAACCTGTTGAATCTTTTGGAAATGGGGGTGCACCAACCAACCAACCAACCAACCAACCAACCAACCAACCAACCAACCACCCAACCAACCAACCAACCAACCAACCAACCAACCAACCACCCAACCACCGAACCACCCAACCACCCAACCACCCAACCACCCAACCACCCAACCACCCAACCACCCAACCAACCAACCACCCACCCAACCAACCAACCAACCACGCACCCACCCACCCACCCGCCCACCCACCCACCCAACCAACCAACCAACCAACCACCTACCAGGGTTAGCCTTGTGCCAGGGCTAGGCAAAAACAAAACACACCCTTTCCGAGAAAAAAAGGGAACCAAACAACTGCGTCGGCGAGCTTTTCATGGCCACCCGCCAAGGCGCCCAATGTATCGTCAAGAAGGGCCCCTTGCCTCGGATGGAATTCCAAACTCACCCAGATCTGCCTTGCGATCGCTGCGAAATCGGGGAACGAGAAATGGAATGAACCCAGTTGCTTTGGTCCCCGAAGACAGGAAACTACACGTTAGATGGTTTAAATCGGGGTCGAATTCCAATTCTCCTTCCCTGCATCTCTCGCAATTTAAACTACACTTTGAACAAATATATGTCCTGACGTGTCATACTGTGAATGGACGAAATCCTGCACCACTTTGAAACCATGGGAAACCATTGTTCGTTGGTATTTACAGGGGAATCATCATTCCGTTGGGTTCCTTAGGCGGTGCGAAATGGATTTCGCAACCATCCACAGTATTGGGGGTATGGGGGTGTCTCAAATCAGGGGTAGCCCCAAATAGCTTCGGTCGTCCCTTTGGATTCCTTTCAAACCCACCAGCAAGGAGCGCCCCAAAACAACAGACCCATAGTTCGTCTACCCTATACACAGATTGGTTTCGGAGAAGATTGCAGGCGCAGTTGGGTGAAAGTAGATGCCTTCTTACACTCTGATGGCCATCTTTCACCCAACTGTCCCTTTCTTGCCCAAAGGACCTGGAAATAAAAGGTGATCACCTTTAATAGACAAACATGGGAGAACCAAAAGGTCAAAAGGTCGGCTCCCAAACAAGGGAACCAAAGAACAAGTTGTCACGACCGGGCGGCTCATCTGAAGGGCCGGTGGGACGAGGATCATTTGTTTCCCCCTAGATTATGAGTCATATATAGTATGCAATAGCATTACAGCCAAAAAACACAATATAATATATTTTAAACCTCCGAACAGTTACAAGTTGATTGCTGTACAGCCCAGCAACACCAATAGCTGATGCATCAAATATGTTTTCACCTGGACCCTCAAACTACCCCAAAAAATTGGAGATCACCCACCAGAATTTTGGGGGTCCAAACCCATTTTTAAGTTGGAATGTTGAGGGTTCAGGCAGTCGCACTGTTACGGCTGATTCGATGCGCAGTTCCATGGCCGCTGTTTCGGAGCAAAGGCGCCCTGGGGCCCGGATTCTCGGATCCCATTCGGATTATGTTCATGCTTTTTCCGCTCAGCCATTGCAACTTCTCTCTCAGACTGTTTTTTGCTGCAAAAAAAATGTGCTGCAATAAATAAACTATACCACCTTGCAAAATTAGATCCAAAGGAGAAATTGCCGGGATCGCAAGGATCGGATCCATGGGATATAGGGTCAAAGGAAAAACCACCCGACTGCGGTTCACCGGTCCTTTCTTCCATTTACCGACGTTTCAAGTCTGTACCCCCAGCCAGATCCCCAAATGCTCATGGGCTTTAGGGAGGCTTCGACCGGATGGAAGGGTTACCTACTAGGGTTGCTCGCCTGCGATCTGGGAAGTCTTTCGCCTCCATCTGGGCCATTCCGGATGCGGGCCCCGCGATTCGCTGCCATGCGCGCTCGGAGAACATCACGACTCATTTTCTATCAAAGCGGTTGGGATTTGCGGTCTTTGTGGATTTACCCAGCGCTTTCCGGTGCTCGTTTGACTGGTACTTGTGCAAAGTGCCCGTTTAACCAGCGCTTTGTCAAGAGCCGGGCTTTCACCGTGAAAGGTGCGTGAGCAACCCGTGAAAGACCGGACAAACCCCATGAAAACAGCGTGAAAAGGCACGCTTCGTTTACTCATGCTAGGGCTCCCAGTAAAGACAGCACTTTTATCAAACGGGCTCGTTTTAACTTGCTTTTGCGGATTTCAACGAAGCGTCTTCCCCCCGCTTGGCTCTTTTTCAGCAATGTTTTAGTACTCTTCTTATCGTCCAGGGGTGGATCCGCAGATTCGCCACGTCCAAACCGTGCCGTTCAAGAATGGGCGTGTCCTTTTTGTTCTTGTTTTTGGGCACCCATTCTGCTGGTGTCTGTTAAGGAACGCCAAACGGAACAACAACCTGGACCCTCAAAATTCCAACTTAGACATAAACATGGGTGGTTGCAACCCAAAATGTCTGGTTGGTGAATTACGACTTGTTGTTGGGTCATTCGAGGGTCCAGGAGCACTCTGGTTTTGTTTTGTTTTTGGGGATGGGGGTGCCCTAAAACAGTTACACCCACCCTGGTAGGCCGATGGCCGTCTGATGACTCCTGGCAATATGTAAATAGCATGGCCTAAGGCCGGGATGAACGGGCCCAAAACTGTCAGGATCGATGCACTATGGAGGACCCTCTGAGAACCAATCGAATGAGACCAAAGGAAAAAAACCCAACCCTCTACTCCAAATACCCGTTTTTTTCAGCATACGATGTCGACCCTTTAATAAAAATTGAGGTATTTACCGTGGAAAACCAGGCGTTCCCAGAAATACCCTGCAAAAGCGGGTATTTGGAGTAGGGGGTATGATTTCCAGGGTTCAACTCTGAAAGGAGTGGCAAGGACCCAATTTAGATGATGACAACCCTTAGGGGAATGGTGGTTTTACAATTGCCATTCAAGGCCGCTTGCGCAAGCCGTCTGTTCGCAAGGGAAGTTCGGAATACAAATACTGGCTGGATCTTGGGGTGGGGAGATGAACCGTCAAAGTGTTGTCCAGAGCCTTTGAATGAACATTGAACAGAATTGCAGGGGCAAAGTAGAAACTCTGTGTCAAAGAAGTGAAGGCTGCACTGTGAATGGGTGAACGGGTATTGTAAACATCTCCTGAGTCCTTTTCTGGCCTGTCTGGAAGGTGGTATCCCTCTCTGGGTCGGTTTTGAAAGCAAACCGAAAAGGACACTGCCATTTTGGGGTCCCCTGAAAGAGACACGCCCATATTGAAAATCCAGGGGCGTAGTCTGAGGCCAAGTGTCCCTGCGAACCCCGAACACAGTGGCAACTGGAAAAACAGGTCTGGCTCAAAATTGGTCACGGGACCACAGCTTTTAGTCCCTGTTTACATTGACCAGGGTTCCATTTGGGACACCGGCTCCTATCGCCTTCGCATTTTAAAGCTTTCGCACTGCCCAAACCCCGCCCCGACGGGGGGCAGAGATGTTTGCTGGCATTGCTCTGCCCAGTGGTTCCGAATCAAGGTGCCGTTCTCTAGCCAAGCTGGAGAACTCATCAAGGAGAATTGGGTTGCAACACCCAAAGTGTGGTTTTTCTAATTGAGGATCCAGGTGATCTCAGCTTTTTCAGCTTAAACTAACGGGTGGTTTGGAGCAGAAAGGGTCCGGAGGCTCTGGATTTACCATTTGCCCTCAGGGAACCACCAAAAATCCAAATTCAAAGCACCAACTCGGGGTAACCTGACTGGGATCTTGACACAAGCAAGCAAAACCCAACAACACGGCCTTCAAAAAACTGGGCTCTTTATTCGCATTGGGCAAGTGAGAAATCTCGCCCAAAGATCTGAGATCTGAGAAATCTCGCTCAAGCCACCGTAGCAAGTGTCCTTTCGCGGATCCCTCAAATGGTGGACGCGAAGGCTTCGGTGTCGGAATGCATCCGGCGCTCATATTGGGTCTGTCTTTTTGAAGGCGTTCCAAAACTTACCCCTTAAAACTCCAAGCCCTGGGGAAGTTAACCTTTTACAGACATATAGCCCATGCTACCCCCAAAAGTTGAAAAGTTGTGTTTTTAAGAGGTAAGAAAATGGACAGTGGCGGTCCGATTTCACTGAAAACCAGAAAAAAAAGGAGCTGACGGAAGCAAGCTTTTGGTTTCTGCTTGAACCAAGCGAAGAGGTTCAACTTTCTCCTAACCTGGCCTGGAAAGCCACCTAGGTCCTCCAGTAAAGGTTAGAATCAGGGTACCCTTTTGGCCGCAATCTATTTCAGTAGGGGAACCCTCCCCCCAACAACAAGTTGGTAAAAGGGCACTACTGGGGGACCTGGCCACACTTGTGCTGAAGCTTGATCAAAAGTAGGGGCCGTTTTTCATTTTGGTCTCCTCTTCAGCCTGCACCTTCCGGCACCTTCTGGGTCCCATGTTTGACCACACACCATCTGCATTGAACGAAAAGACAACCAACCCCCAAACAATCGCCCCCTGGACATGAGCATTTCCAGTGATAAGTTTGAAGGGAAAACAAGAAGATATGCCGAAATGCACATGGAAGAAACAACTAGGTCCTCCAGATTTTTTAGAGCTGAGAATAAGTTGGCGCCGGTTCTTTTCTCTGCCGTCTTTTCGTCGGGTCCCGAACTCTCCCCCAGAAAAGTATTTGTGCCTGGGCCTCAAGCAAAGACCCCGGTGAAAAAACGACCAGCGCCCCATTCAATCGTTGGACCCGAGCTTCCGCGATGCTCGGACAGCCCAGAATTCTTCGCCGAACGAAACGGATGGCTTTCGCCACGGGCGAGCCGGAAGCCTGCCGAAAGAGGGGACGTCTTCTTGTTTTTGCCACGCTGGGTGTGTTCAGTGGCCTGCAAAAAAAATGGGAGGTGGGTCATTAGATTTGCTGGCCCGAACCTTCAGCTGAAAAGCGGCCCTTCTTGAAAAAAGAAGAGAGAAAGAACCCTCACAAAAAAAAAGGATGCGAGGGAACCTGGCAACCTGGCTCTTGAATCCTGCTTGGCCAGGGCTGCCTCCCCGCCTTCTCTTGCTTTCCCCAACAGCTTTGAGGCTGCCCGGGGCTTTGGGCTCTGCAGCTTGGCAGCTTGGCAGGGCTCCGGGGTTCCGAACATCCGGGGCCGGTGGGACCACCTTGCAAAATGGAAGTTGCAGAATGAAAGTGCGTTCTACCACCCAACCAGTTGAAGGTGAAGATCCAGCCCTTTTCTCTAGTGGTTGATTCTCCGTGCTTTTCAGCCATCGTTCTTTTCAAAAACCAGCCATTTTGTCAGGGTTTTGGTGGTTTTCTAGAAAGAAGCATCCCTAGAGAGAATGGGGAAGTTACCCCAATATTCTTTGTGACGTACCCCGTTGCTTCTTTACGAGCACCCCTCTTCGGGCGCTTCTCAAAATCGACATCGGGGAATTGGGTCCGAAAATTGCCCCAGGGCTTCCTCTTGGCTTCTAGCCGCCCCTCCAG